GCCATGGCTGCCGAATAGGTGCTAACTGCCACTCAACAGGCCTGCTCCACACTCTGAGCAAACGCGTGGGTGTGTGTGGCATGGCATGTGTGTATTACTATTATTATTATTTTTCATCACCTTGTCTGAACATGTGTGTGTGCAGGAGTGCTTCCCCCTCACTGTACTGTGTGTTTGCACACGAGGGAGTTGGTTTAATGTATGAGTGCAGGTTCAACATCACACCATGTTTATTTACCTCCTGACACCTTGTTTACTTCATCTTGTTTACTGGATGTAGACTCTTGTTTTCAGACATCCAGCTTTAGACCGGGTCAGCTGCGTAAAACCTGAACACGTACATTTGTTCAAACAGAATCAGCAAGAGGAAGTGATCTTTTTTTTAGTGTGTGTCAGCGTGTTCATCTAACGTCTCCTCGGTTAGCTAGATGCTCGGCTTCATGTGAGAGATTTTAGGTCACTTCAGATTCTTCTCTCACTACGCACGAGTCCAAACTCGCTATGTGAGCCTAATTCCATTATGCAGTTTTCATGAGATGGATGAGGGTCGGCGACAGCGAGAGGGAGCTCACGGAGGAGATGGTGGCAAGAGCGAGAGGAATCAAGGCAGAGAGAGGTAACTGGAGCAAAGGCTCAGATGGGAGAGATAGAAAGGTTCAAGCTGATGTGTGTGTGAGGGAAACGGAGAGGAAGCTGTAAACTGCATTGATTATTTTTTCTTTTTCCTCCCCCTTCCTCAAACTAATTAAAGTTTTAGCCTGGCTCAGTGATTACCCCACTGCTTACAGAGGCTTTCTCCTCCTGGAAGACTCGGTTTTACCTTCCCTCTCCTCCTCTCCCTCCCAGATGCCTTGCTGACTTATTTACATAGCTGGAGGTGCTTTACTATGAAATTACAATTAGGAAGCAGCAGAGCAGACTCTCTAGGAATGGCCTACATGATGCCAAGTGCATCTTGACTGTGATTGGCTGTTTTAAATTCCAGAGGGATTTGTAGGAAGAAGCACGTTCTTTTGATTGTAATGCGTTTTATTTGATTGCTGTGGTCCCAGACCTTGTCTGGGGTTGGCTCACAGCATAAAGCACGCAGAGACAAAAAACTACAACATCTGGAAGCCATTGAATAAGTAATTTTATTCATTAATATCTGCACTCCTTACCTTTTTGTGACAATTTTGTATTTGTAACCACTAAAGGGTTTCTTAGCAACTTTTTCATATTTTTAAATCATTTTTGAGCCAGTTTGGGTTAAAGTGACCCTCTACAGGGGTAATGAAATGTCACTCAGATATCCACCTCCCACGTTTGCAGCTTCAGAGTGCTGGTCTGGTCTGTTGGGCTGACACATCTGGCGCTGCAGTCTGCTTCCAGCACGTTTCCTGCATGTTTTAGACCACGAACACAGCTGATTTGTTTGATGTAGTGATGAATCACTCCTGTAGACACTAATGAAGGCTGGGGAGACGTTTCAGCTGTTAGATTAAGGTGTTAAAAGGACGAATGCACAGTGAGGAGATAGCTTTCATTTTTGGTTCTACTAAACAGACACTAGGGGGTGCTAAAAGCTGAATCCCATTCTGTCCCACTCTGAACTTGAGACTGTTCTCCACACCTTCATCTCCTCACGCGTAGACTACTGTAACTCTCTTTTCACGTGTCTGAGCAGAACCTCCCAGAACTGTCTACAGGTGGTTCAGAATGCCTGTGCTCGGCTTCTGACCAAGTCCTCCAAACACACCCACATCACCCCGCTTCTCCTCCAGCTTCACTGGCTGCCAGTCAACTTCAGGGTTCATTTCAAGATCCTGGTTCTGGTCTATAGGGCCTTACATGGACAAGCACCATCTTACATTGGTGGTCTTCTTAGTCCCTACACCCCCAGCAGGTCCCTGAGGCCCAGTGATCAAAGCCTACTGGTTGTGCAGCACCAGGCTAAAGGTCAAAGGTGACTGATCATTTGCTGCTGTGGCCCCCAGACTCTGGAACCCTCTCCCCCTGAGCCTGAGATCAGTGGACTCAGTGGTCTCCTTTAAAAAGCAGCTGAAGACTCACTTGTTCAGGCTGGCTTTTGTATGACCTTCTTCACCTCTCTCTCTTTATTTTGCTCTCCCCACCTATTCCACCTTCCTCAGGGTCCACTGATTTCCATCTTTCCTCGTCACTCTCTCTCTTTCTTAACGTTTTTAATCACAATTGTCTATTTTTGCTCATTTTAAATATATTTTTAAACATTTTATAAATGCTTTATTATATTTTACATTTTTTGTTTTTGTGAAGCACCTCATGATTTTTATCTTGAGAGACGCTATAGAAATGATATTTTCTTCTTCTTCTTCTAAAAGCAAGCAAAACTGCCAAGTGTGGCTTTAATGCAAAGTTATTAAAATGAATGTGATAATAAGAAATCTTTTTGGTGTTTTTTTTAAATCTCATGCTGGTGTCCTGACTCCGACTTTGGTGACCACGGTTTTAAGATGAGCCCCTCAGACTTCCTGTTCTGTTGAGCTGACTTCCTGTTTTATTTTGTAGAGTTTTTACCTTTGTGTGTTTCACTTGTTTCAGATGATTTCACCTTCGTGCAGTTCTTGGTTTGGTAAAGGGATACTTTGTAGCTTTTTCATATTTTTAAATCGTTTTCTTGAGGCGGTTTGTGCTAAAATGACCCTCTACAGGGTTAATGAAACACCACCCAGCTCCTATCGCCCCCCTGTGGCCAGATTATTCCACTTGCAACTTCAGAATGGCGGGCCACTCCATTGGGACTGACATATCTGGCGCTGCAGTCTGCTTCCAGCATGCTTCCTGCATGTTTTAGATCATGAACACAGATGATTTCTTTAATTTAGCGATTCATCACTCCTGTAGACATACTAAGGAAGCCTGGGGAGACACTTCGGCCGTTAGATTAAGGTGTTAAAAAGACGAACGCGCAACAAGGAGACAGGTTTTGCTTTCAGTTCTACAAATGGACACTAGGGAGTGCTAAAAGCAAGCCAAAACTGCTTAGTTCCTCTTTAATTGCTTTTCCAATTTAGTTGGATTATTTACCTTTTGCCCTTCTGGCTTTGCAGCTCCTTTTGTTTTTATAGATCTACCAGTTGCTTTTCATCCATCTCGTCCTCTTTTCTATTTCTGTTCATGGATTATCCACTTTTTACTTTGAGTCTTCTTTCTTGATTTGCCTCATCATTAAAAAAGATTTTGTTTTGAGCCAGTAAAGTAGTTGCAGAACATCAGTTTCTTAAAGAGCAAGTCACCCCCAAATAAACTTTTTTTTGCTGATAAACTAAATAAACGAGTGTCTAATCGTGCTGCAGACACGTGTCGTCAATAATTTGGCACTTCAGTGCATCTTAGTTAAAATTTAAATATTCTGCCTAAAACTGGCAGTGTTGTGCCATTGTCAGGTAAAAACTCTGCACTGTATTTTAATTTAAATCTGCCACCGCTATTGGCTGAGAGGTATGCTATGATGTAAACTGGTACATTATGATGTCACAATGCTGTTGTGAGCCTGAGTGTGTGTGTATTTGTTAGCAGCTCCGCCTTCTCGGTCTGCCAGGCAACAGCATTTGTTGCATTTTTCAAACATGAAGTGGGAGTTGAGTTAGACTCTGGTAGGGGGTGACTTGCTCTTTAAAAAAGATTTTGTTTTGAGCCGGGAAAGTAGTTGCAGAACATCAGTTACTTAAACGGGATTCTACAGCAAACGCAAAGCACCCAGTAGCCACACGATGACGTTTTCTGCCCTTTAATAGAAAAAAATGGGATCATCCGATGTGCGTTGGTAGGATCAACGAGTTATCTTTGGGTTTTCTTGTGCTGCTTTACAAGACTCAAGGCTGAATCTTCAATAGAGTTGACTTCTCCCGTTAAATCCCTCGGATGCTCATTTGGGACTGGATGTAGAATGTTATGAGGTTACCGCCTTTAAGCTGCTTCCTGTGTTCTTTGACTTGTTACAGAGCTGTTTTTGTAGTGCGCAGTGTGACGGGTGCATCATCCCGCTGGGAGAAGCTGCAGATTTCAGAGATTTCAAAGCCGAACGTTGTGTTTTAACAAGACGATCAGCGTTTGCTTCTCCCGTCGGCAGCTTCAGCGCCGCCGATGACCGGTGGGTGCTCTTGTCATCTGGTTGCCATGGCGCCGGCACCATGCATTAAAACGTCAACGCAGTTTGTGTCAAAACGAGGACAACTTTGGATTCATCGTGTGAAATAAACGAAATGCATTTTGCACACGTGTGAGGGATAAATAATAAATCTGGTGATTTTTTTTTACTAAGAAACGGCTTTCTGTGGTTTCAGGAGAGATTCTTTTTGACCTTTTCTCCTTCGTTCCTGCGTTTAATGCACCATTTTCTAAGACGATAAGGACGGGAAATAAAAGCTGTGAAGTACCTCGCTTTTAGTTTGATGTATAAAATCCAACAGCAGACACTGAAGTGTGATTCTAGTGGGAGAAAGAGAAATGTTTAAAACACACTTCATGTACCATTCATCCATTAACCTTTCGGGGGTGTGATGGGAGGGGAGTAAATACATTTACTCTAAGCTGCTATTGAAGGGAAAATGCATGCAATTTTCTTAAAGCACAGCTTGCAGATGAAATATAAAGTATATTATCTAAATCAGAATCTAATTCCTTGTTTTCTCGGCACTCGGCCTCCCTCTTATGCAGATTTCTGTAAAGCGTGTTGTGTGAAGTGGGTTGTTAGGGCCTCCCCCTAACTAAAACAAGTAAGCATTCAGGTTAAAAGCCATTGTCGTAATTGAACGGTACGGCCCACAAAGACACCTAATGAATACGTTTTATGGAGAGTATTTTAAATGGTATTGACTAAAAATTATTCATGATTTGCTAAAAAAGAAAAAGAATATCTGTCTGGGATAAATCAAGATTTCCATGTGCTCACCAATGCTCGCGCTCAGGAAATATGAGTCATGACCGCTGATACAGACATTGATATGCAACGTGGCTCTGCTCTGCCTCTGCCCCAGGCCTGCTGAGATTAGAGGAACTGGTCCGCCGCTTCCTCATCTCACGGGAGACGCTGTCTGTCAGGATGCTGGATGAAAACCTGGACCCCACCCCGCTCCTGAAGGAGATCCGTGACGACAAAGTGGCCACCATCATCATAGACGCCAATGCTTCCGTCTCCTATCTCATCCTCAAAAAGGTCAGGACTCCAACATCGGGACCGCTCGTGTGTGTTTAGAGAAAAAGCGTTGTGTGTGTGGGGAGGGTGAACGTGTTTTTTATGTTTTCCTGATGCTGACGGTTGAGATTCTGAAAATCATTTGTGAAACGATCAATAAAGTTTGTTCAGAGCTCTTTGGGGGGAGTCGTTTGTTGAAACAAAATTAGCATCTATTTTTATGCTTTCTGCCCTCTGGAGCCGCACGTCAATTAGCCCCAGCCTTCTGAAAGTTTTTGACTAAAGAGCGTGGCTAGCTGGGACGCGGTGCAGATGTTAGCCCGGCTCCTTCTGATTCATCCCAGCGCCGATAGCAGCGCCGTGACTCACGGTTTGAATAGGATGTTTTCTTTTGGAGTGCCTGTCCGCCCTCAGCTACATGTCCTAGTGTTAGTCTGATGATGCAAAACTGTGATTAACGTATGCTTCCTCCTCTTCCACATTCCCCTTGCTCTCTGCCTCTTCATTAACTCTCCACCTTCGCCTCCTTTCTCCCACCATCAATCTTACTCCGTGCTATCCTATTCTTTCTTTCCACATTCATATCTCACCTCCCTCTTTATTTTTTCATCCCATTCTCTCTTTTTGTCCCGCAGGCATCAGAGCTGGGGATGACATCAGCATTTTATAAGTACATCCTCACCACTATGGTAAGAACGCACCGATTGTTCCTCTCCTCTCCTTCCTTCTCACCCACTCCTTCCTCCCTCTCCTCTTCTGTCTTGGCGCGAGCGAGCAAAGGTGCCAAGGCGGAGAAGGTGTTCGATAAGGGGGGGGGGGGGGGGGGGGGGGGGGAGAGGTGACAGGGAAAAAGAGGGGGAGAGGAGATGAAAGATGAGAAGAGGGAGGAAGAGATCTGAGAAGCAAACATGCAGTTCAAAGATGTGGAAGTGCAGAGGACGGCAAAAGCAGGAAAAAAGGGTCTGAGGTGAAGGTGATGACAGAGGAAATGTGCTCTTCTTTCCTCCAGCTTCTTCACGCTTCTGCCTCCTTGATATACAGACTCACATCCTCTTTTAGCACCTGAATTAGTGTTACTTTATGTCTGATTTTTATTTTCTCCTCCTCTCTGCGCGCTGGCGTGTTGTTGTGTATCACTTTGAAAAGCCACTCGAGTCTTTTCCATCAACCCCTCTCATCCTTGTACGGCTGTTTTTCTGCCCTTTCCTCACAGCTAACCACATTCTTGTCTCTCCCCGTCAAAAATTAGATGTTGTCACTCTCAGCTTCTCTTCCCCTGTTTCTGCAACTCTTCCTCTTCTTCTCAGGACTTCCCCCTGCTGAGGCTGGATGACGTGGTGGACGACCAGTCCAACGTTGTGGGTTTCTCCATGTTTAACACCACACACCCGTTTTATCTGGAGTTTATCAGAAGCCTGAACCTCTCCTGGAGGGAGGGCTGTGATTTAACCTACCCCGGCCCTGCGGTTAGTGTCCTGCAGCAACAAAACACTCGTGCATTCAAATGAGTTGTTTTGCAACGTAAACTTAATCCGCTTAACACCTCTTGCTGATTCATGAAGCAGTTAAAGACATTTTACTTGTATCTAACAGGTATTTATATACTTTAGCCTTTCTGCTTACCTTATTTACTCCAATGGTTTTGCTCCTTCAATCATAACTGCCAACACAAGCCTCCTCATTATGTCTTCTCTCCTTTCCTGTCTTCCCTTTGGGTTTTCCCATCCCTCCCTTTATCTCCAATCCGTCCTCTTCCTCCCCAGCTCTCGTCGGCGCTGATGTTTGATGCGGTGCATGTGGTTGTGGGGGCGGTGAGGGAGCTGAACCGCAGTCAGGAAATTGGAGTGAAGCCACTCAGCTGCACCTCGCCTCAGATCTGGCAACACGGGACCAGCCTCATGAATTATCTACGCATGGTAATCGCTTCATAAGGCTGCATGTCTGCTGGATGTGAGCTTGTTTACGTGATGCTGGACAAACTCAACAGAAAATAAAAAATTCTGTTATCACGTGTGTGTGTGGTGAAAAGTTGCCCTGACTAGGATTTGAATGAAGTTTGTTTAGAATTTGATGATTTTGCAGTTTCAAAAGGAAGAGAAAATAGACCAGAATGAAATTTAGGGATCTGGCGGATAACACTTTCACAAAAAAAGTACAACTTTAACACTTTAGGGGATTTATTTGCATTTTTTTCTGCAGAAAGATTTTAGCTCTCGGCAATTCTGGTAGTCTTGCCGGTGAAACTCAACAAATCAGAGTATGGTGCAAAAGTGAATTTATTTCACTCCATCAGCTCAGACTGCGAGACCTTCTAAAGGCTCAGCAACCCTTTGCATGTGTTTAGGTTTCACTCCATCAGCTCAGACTGCGAGACCTTCTAAAGGCTCAGCAACCCTTTGCATGTGTTTAGGTTTCATTAGCTGATTCGTGTGTGACACTTTCACTCTGGAATATTGAACCTTTTTCATTAATTCGTTTCATCTTTTTAAGCTGAATTACTGACACAAACAAACTTTTGCACCAGCTTCTCATTTTTTGCTTGTCACCTGCATGATATGATGGGGTTATATATATATATATCTATATAAATATGTATACATATATATATATATATATATATATATATATGTATATATATATATATATATATATATATATATATATATATATATATATATATATATATATATATATATATATATACATATATATATGTGTGTTTATTTATTTATTTTTTCGGATTATTATTAGAAATTTGTTTTCCTAATGCAGCTTATTGCAAACTCCAGAAAAATTCATGGGCTAACCTTTAACCGCTTCCCCCAAATCCTTGCTCATTTTTAAAACATCATCGGCTTACATTTACCTTTATGTTGTTACAATTCCACTCATGAACCTGCAGGGTAAATTTCGCCGCCAGGATTCAAGAAAAGTTCACGTTCTCCAGCATAAAAGTCCTGTTTGTGCAGCTGCTGCTTCACAACAGAACAGCACTACCTTGGTCTCTCTCAAACCCTCCTGGAAAGAATTGAACTGGATTTGTCCACCTGGGGCTGCTTCAAACACCTCTTGTCAAATATGAACATAATTTAGCTTTTTCTCTTCTCTTAGCTGACATTTTTAATAGCGTTGAAAACTGGGAACATTATCCTTATTTTTTTGGGAATAATTTTGTGGTCTTGTCCAACCTGCTGCTTCCAGGAGCCTAAGGCTGATGTTAAGGACACAGGTCAAGTTTGGAGTTTTCAGCGTCTTTTTGGTGTTTTCTAGGATGCTGAGTTTAAGAAAATAAAGCACTTCAGTTACAGCGGCTTCTGTATGACAAAAAAAGGCTGTAACTAACAAATATCTTCAACATTGACTGATCTGCTGCTCATTTTCAAACGATCAATAAAGTGTCAGAAAGTACCTATTAGGACTTATTAAACCCTGAGGTGACACCTAAAAATTAGAGCTGAAATAATTTCCCTATTGTGCAGCTGAAAATTAATCTTCCTTTCAAAGCAATCAGTCAGGCAATGAAATCGTTTTCCAAGCAGAATAATTGATCTGCTGGTTTCAACTTCTAAAATCAGAGTTGCTTTTAATGGTACAATATGTGAAAAGATCATAAAAAGGTCTACAGTCTCATTCATGAAGGAAGAAAGATCTGATTGAAACAGATTTTAATCTCAAATGGCGGGGGTGGGTGGGGGTGGGGGGTGTGTGTGTCAGTTTTTCTCCTTTCAATAAAGCTAAAGGGACGACGTCTGTGAGACCGGGGGCTTGCGAGTTAGCGCCGGCTAACCGTACAGCCGTCATTGATCGATACCTACTGGCAAAGCACAGCAGCGATTAGCAAAAATCCTAAGCCGCTAACAGGAGCGACCCAGACGTTATTTCTTGTACATCTCAGAAACCACGGCATCTTCCTACTTTAATCTTCGCTAGAGAAGGCTAGAGGCTAACGTTGAGCTAACATTGCTAACGGTGAATTGGAAATAATTGGCTCTAAAATTATCTCAAGCTACTATTTTTTACAAGCCGATCTTACAGTGAAATGTATTTATTTACTTATCTAACCTTCTCCCTTCGCTCTAGGACCGGGAGATCGGGGTTCTAAGACTTTAAAAAGGGACCCAACGCCTCCCTTCTTGACACTCAGCTTTAAAGGGTTGGACTGGGGGGTTAAGCCACCAGATAGTGGCCACAGCTCACCGCTCCCCATGGGGATGGGTCAAATGTGGAGATGAATTTCACCAGTGTGTGATGACCAATGGGACTTGATCAACTTACTGGATATGACTCTATGTCTTTGCTCGTCATCTAAGATCTTCTAGTGCTGAGCGTTAGGTGGCAACAGCCTTGAAACTCACAGAACAGGAGTGAGAAAGTGACCGATGTGTTTTGACAATGGGCTGCAGTACCCACATTTAACCACAGGAAGTCAATTCTTACCTTTAAATACCAGAAAGTATTTTTTTAACCGAAAATCTCAAAATATGATGGATTTTCTGATAAGACAAGACATAATCGATCCCACAGTGGGGGATTTCTGCGTTACCGCAGCTCAGACAGATAGCTAAACAGTAGAAAAGTTACCAACAAGGCAAAAATAAAAGAGACAAGACACCAAATACAACAGTAGTTCCTGTGTAGACACATACACAGTAAGCTTTGGGGGGTTCATTGTTTAAAAAAGAAGATTCCTGAATTTTTGATTCTTTCCGATGGCTTATTACTGAATAACAACATGTATGTTGGGGAATCTTTACATCCCACGTTGCTCGTAACCTCTATCTGTTGTTCTTTGTCATCTCCCATCTCTGGTGTTCTGCTCCCCTCGTCACCAACCTGTCGTCACGGCAGCCTGTGTCCCATCTCTCATTACCCGCGGCCCATCTGCCCGACATCTGTCTTTGTTAGTCAACATCATGGTGTGCTCCATCTTCAGCGCTCTGCCATTCATCACGGTTCCTTCAAACTGTGCCAGCACCTGGGTTTTGGAGTGGCCAGGCTGAGCAGTGATGTCCAGGTCTGAGTCTCATTAGAGAGCTGTTGACTGTCTCCTCTGCCCTGTCTGTGCCTCTCGATCAGTCTCTTTCTCCCAGTTGATCCAGAGCTGATCAGCCTTGTCGGGGACGGCTTTAGTCGCCGTCTCTCTCTCTATAACTTTTTCCTGCCTCCAGATAAACGCTCGGTTTAATGATGATGGATGGTTTCATGAAGAGCCCTGGTTTTATTTGTGTCCCTGTCTCTTTTTGTTGCTCCTACACATGTTCCTTTATCTTCTTGCCCTTTTTTTCATCCTCCGTATCGCTATCCTTACTGTCATCTTTCTGCCAGGTGGAGTACGATGGCCTGACAGGACGAGTGGAGTTCAACAGCAAAGGTCAGAGGACCAACTACACCCTGCGGATCCTGGAGAAACACAGAGGAGGCCACAAAGAGGTCAGGAGCCACCTGTTCTGATGCAACGACTAGGTCATGATGGCCTCAGGTTCTGGGTTAGTTACAGGTCACCAGCAGGTTTTCACAAAGCCGAGGGAGGCGTTTCACACTCAGGTCAGCCCCGTCCCTTCCCCTGAGCTGAGCGTTATGAAGCTGACGTGCGTTAGCTTAGAGTCGTTTAGCAGAACCGGTCCACACACGGCTTAGATCTAAATATATAACAGGGATTTCACCCAGAATGCCTCTTGAACATTATCGCTGCTGCTGGACGCTCACTTGATATTTAGTCATATAGAAACACAGAAAACACTCATGAATATTTGATTTATTTTATAGAGACAAAAAGGATTTGGCATTTCCCTTTAATTTTGACATCTCATTTCGTTCATAAATGTATACATTTTTAATGGCGTCTTTATGAAGCCTTTGTCTTGTGCAGAAATGAATTGGCTTGAGGCTTGCTGTCGTTTTGATCTGTATTAATTCTGGACTTTTGCTTCGGGGGAAATCAGCAAAGAACGAGACTAAAGTGGTCCTGGATGTAATTCTGTTCATAGATTTTTCCCCAAATAACATAAAGAAAACTATATTTAGACTTTTGCTGTGCAGCAACAATTTGAGCCGAGTGTGAAGATGCTGGCATGAGAATCAGCTCCTCCAAATCTGAGACCGTGGTCTTGGGTGAGAAAATGGTAGAATGACTTCTCCGGGTCAGGGACGATGTCCTGCCTCAAGTGGAAGAGTTTAAGCATCTTGGGGTCTTGTTCACGAAAGATGGAGATCGACAGGCGGACTGGTGATGTGGTAGTGGCATCAATCTGCCGTGGTGAAGAGAGAGCTGAGCCAGAAGGCAAAGATCTCGATTTATGTTCCAGCCCTCATCTGTTGTCAGGACCTTTGGGTAGTATCCGTGAACAAGATCGCGGACACAAGCGGCTGAAATGAGTTTTGTCCGCAGGGTGGCTGGGCTCTCCCTTAGAGATAGGGCGAGAAGCTCGGTCATCCAAGGGGCTCGGAGAAGACGCGCTGCTCCTCTGCATCAAAAGGAGCCAGTTGAGGCGGCTCGTGCCTCTAGTTAGGATGCCTACTGAACGCCTCCTTCGTGAGGTTTTCCAGGCACGTCCAACCAGGAGAAGACCTAAAGGAAAACCCAGGACACGCTGGAGGGACTATGTCTCTTGGCTGGCCAGGGAACGCCTTGGGATTCCTCCGGAGGAGCTGGTCCAAGTGGCTGGGGAGAGGGAAGTCTGAGCATTCCTTCTTAAACCCTTTTCAGATAGACATTCTGGAATATGTGTGGACAATTCAATCCGGTTTTTAACCAGAACTGTGTTTTCAGACACACCACTTTTGTACCGGAACTTGTCCTTTCGGCTGCCTTCACACAGCAGGGAAAAGTTCCAGATGTCTCGGGGGGGGGGGGGGGGGGGGGGGGGGCTGTACCCAGATATTGCATAAACATGGTGCGGCGAGCATACATGCGTCATTTACCCAAACAAAGCCATTCAGAGCTATAACTCCTCTCACTGACCGGACTTATGTTAAGCATATTTCTGCGCACACGAAGACGCATAAGAGACCTGGATGATGAAGCTCAATGGTTAAAGGAATCACGGAAGCGGTGTGAAGCGCTCCGTCGCGCGTCTAGACGGTACCGTAGGAGGTGAGCTGCTATGGTTCGCCACATGCTACAGGAGCGAGCTATCTAGGTGCGCACAGCGTCCCCCGGTCCCCTCCTCCCTGTCCGGAACTCGACCTCACCAGTCTGAAGCAGCCACCCTGTCCGTGACAAGTCCAGACCTGTTACTAGGGGCGTCGTCCGGTTTAATTATGGAAAACTTTATCCGTATGTTTGTATTCAGACACAAAGGTCTTACGGACAGAGTCCCGAACATTTCCGTTTTCATGGCCTGCCTGAAGGGGGCTTTAGGCTGCTGCCCTCGTTACCCGACCACGAATAAGAGGAAGAGAATGGATAGATGGATAATTGAAACTAGAAGTAGCAATTAGTGCAAAATGATAATGGACAGTTTGTTCATTTACATTATTCCAAGAAATCTTTATATTATATAAGAGCAAATAAAAACCAGGCAAAGATCTGCTCTCCTGCATGACTTTTACCAGAACAAAATAAATTTGACATAAAAAATTTAGGTCAAGCAGTTTCTTGGAACCAAAACAAAATGCTGGAAGGCCAAACCGTTATGCAACAACATTTCCTCACAACTTCCTCCAGTAAGCAAAGAGCTGAAAGGGAAGATTTAGCAATAAAAACAGAGTTTAAGTGAGGCTTTAAGCGCTAACACCAGAGCAGCAGAAGTTCACGGACCGGAGGAAACGCTTTCTCTTCACCTTCTCCTCAGCGTGTCTTCCCGCTGTCTCTCATGCTTACACCAAATGCCATTTTCTCACTTAAAGCTGAACTCCGACTCAGCGGAGAGTTGGGTTGCAGTAATTAACATTTTAACTCTGCCCACCTCTTTGTATGGCGACATCCACCGTAGGCCGGCGGTGGCGGTTCACAGATAAAAGAGCGCTCTTAAATGTCAGTGCAGGATGGAAACTGTAATAGAAAAGCTGTGATTCTGTCGGTGGAGCCATTGCCTCTCTTCTGACCCGCTGAAGGATGTGCAGTAATACTCCTAAAGAAATGCCTCTTTGAGCTGCTGATCCACCCAACGCTTTGCTTGAGTCATATTCACACGCCTATAAGTGACTTTACCGTCTGTGTAAAATGGGAATGAATGTTCAGGTGTGCAGTTTAAGAACGGCGTGAGTGAAGCGAAGAGACGCGGCACTAAAGCAGTTGATCACGGACGCTTCTCATTACCGCCCACCTCGTTGTTCTGCTTGTAAGCAGCGGTTGTTTTTATAACGGGGCGCGTTGCTGCTAGTTTTATTTGGCTCCTGTGGGAACTACTGCATCAACACAGATATGTAACCGTATGAATACTAACGCCAGAGTGTAAAAGACAATAAATGTAATGGCGTTTGCGTTATAAAACCGACCGCCATGATTGATGTTCGGACTGGTAAACCTGAGCACGTAGCCTGCCACAATATAAAAACAACAGGTGCAACGAAGCTTAGCAGAACATTATTTATCCCATAATAGTTATTGATTTTCCTTTGCTTTGTATTCCCTGTCAGATCGGGATCTGGTACTCCAACAACACTTTGGCTATGAACTCCACCAGTTTGGATATAAACATCTCAGAGACTCTGGCAAACAAGACCCTGATAGTCACCACGATCCTGGTAAGGTCACGGTTACCTGGCGTGAGTCGGCGCTGTTGACCGCTGAGTGCTTTTCTGTGCTCCTGCGCTGGAGCTCACACTGTGATTTGGTCTTTTTCTGGCACTTTAGCCGTCGCTGTAGCTGTCATAGAAACCGACAGCGCACTGAGAAGAATGTGTTGCTGCCCTTCTGGCTGTTAGCTCCTTTGTGTTTTTATCTGATCATGAAATCAGTGATGTTCATCATGCTTGATCCATCCTCTCTGATCTGAAAACGCCAAATGTGTGATCAAAATGAACGGGTAGTATCTCACCTGTTGTGGACAGCTCTTTGAATGAGTAGGTCTGATCAAACAACTGGGTCAGTCTCACAGGGGACATGATATGCAGACTTGCCCTTTTGCATTAGTTTGTGTTGTAATGTTGGTCTCTACTACCTTAGTCCCTTCCACCGTCCTGTCAAGTGACCCCTCCAGTACAGGGGCTGGTTAAACAGGGTCTACAGTTTATACCTTGGCAGGGGTGAAGTGATGCACCCCTCAAAAAAAAAAAAAAAAAAAAAAAGATTAAAATACAAAATAAAAATACACCAGAGGTCTATCTGACCCCATTAACAATGATGTTGTCAGTGTTTGGTTTGAGAAATTATGGGCCTAAAATAAGGCGTTTTGAAAAGTCCCGGTTTGTGATGTCATAAAATAAACAGGGACAATGGCATAGGACCACATCTCACGTGCAAGAGAGAGCTGCTACTGGAGGAGCAATGGCTCTACTCCAAGCCCCTCCATATTGGAGCTTCTCAGCTTATAGTAGCCTGAGCGGAAGATGAGTGGGCGTGGCCAGCTCCAACTTGTTTACTTAGAGTGACAGAGCCTTGAAATGTCTTTTTCTGGAAGGTGCTGAAAAAGTTGAGAGTAAAACTGTTGAAATTGCTTCATATGATCAAGAACTTCATTAAAATGTTTTGTATCGACCGTCTAACTATTGCAACTTAGGGAGAATATAACAACATGTCCCCTGTAATGATTTTGTTTCTGTTCGTGCAGCTTATTAATGACTTTTACGTTGCCGAACATTTTACATTTCCAGCTGTTCATTAGCTGCCCTTCAGAGAATTTCCTAGCGATTAACTACAGAGTTCTCTACAAAATATAATTTAATTAGAAGATTTATGAACTAACTTTGGCATGGATCTCTGTTTGTGACTACCAGACCAGGTTAACTGTTCAGTCTGAACTGATCTCTGTTTCTGCAGTAGGGTTAGGGTCAGGGATGACTGAGATAATAATTGTTCGTAATCTTTCTGTAATAACCCACTTCAAAATTGTCCATTTCAGCCATAAGACTTCTCAAAGTCCCCAACCGACCCTTCCTTTTATCACAAGTGGGTTGAAAACCTGTCACAAACTTAGGGGTTGTGATGGATGCTAAACTAAAAATGGACATTCATTAAGACCTGTTTTTACCACCTGAGGCGTCTCTCTAAAGTTAAGCCCATTTTAAAAAGGCGTCATCTCCATTCAGTTGTCCATGCCTTCATTTTTTCCCGTCTTGACTTCTCTAACTCAGTGCTATATGCTATCTCCTCCTCCACTCTCGCTCGCCTTCAGGTTGTGCAGAACGCAGCAGCTCGATTCTTGACTGGCACCAGGCAGCGAGAACACATCACACCGGTTTTAGCAAATCTCCATTGGCTCCCCATCCATCTCCGGATGGAGTTTAAGATCCTGGTTTTTGTGTTTAAATCCCTCAATAACTTAGCACCTGGCTACTTGTCTGAGCTCATTCACCCTTATATCCCTACAAGATCCCTCCGATCAGCCGACCAGCACCTCCTACATGTCCCTAGCTCCCGCTGTAAATCCCGCGGTGAGCGCGCCTTTTCAGTTTGTGCACCGAAGCTCTGGAACCACTTGCCCCTCCTGATCAGACTCTCTTCCTCTCTTTCCCTTTTTAAGTCTCATTTAAAAACTCAATTTTATTCATTGGCTTTTAATTCAGTCTAACTTGTTCTCGTTCTCCTTTTCTTTCCGATTTTAATAACTCGATTTTAATGGATTTAGTTTTAATTTTTGATTGTTTTTATTGTGTGTTTTTGTTCAGCACTTTGGTCGGCTCTCATGCCGTGTTTAAATGTGCTATACAAATAATCTTGGTATGGTATGGTATTTAATAAACCAAAAATCATCATGAATACGTCATTTTTAGAGTGTAAGTGGTTCAGAAAAGTTACATTTAGTTTGTTTGGGATTTTTAAATATTGTTGGTATTTAACATCTTTTTCTTAAAGGGACTTTACGGAGTTTAGAATTTTTATGCTCGCGATCGCCCCCTCAGGCCAAAAGCGTAATGGCAGCTTCAATAGTAGGCTCGTGCACGAGGCGCGCATGCTGTACGTGCACACTCCTTAACGAAAATAACAGCTGAGACAGTCCCTTGTGTGTGTGTGTGTGTGTGTGTGTGTGTGTGTGTGTGTGTGGCCCAGAGGACAGAGGACAGGAGAACGCGCAGCTAATTAATTAAATAATTTGGTTCTGTACCTTTCTCTTCAGCACAGCCGACAAAGGTTTATGATGGGTCAGTCCTCCTGCATGCTCAGATCATTCCCTTCCCTTGCTTGAAAAATTGTTCCAACATGAAAGTTGATCCCACATCTTTTTTATCTGTGAATTCAATGCCGTTCGGCGAGTCTCAAATAAAAATTTGGGCATCTTACTGTAAAAAAATATACCATTAATGTAAAAAATAAACTCAAAATAAACTGTGCTCTCATCCAGAATCGAACCCCGATCCTCTGCATGAAAGCGCAACATCTTACTAGGCGAACTAAAGCACCAATGACATCCTTTGTATCTGTAATGTTTATATCCTTGATGACAGCTGAAACAACGTCCAAAGAACGGTTTGGAGGGCTATGCCTGAGTGTGAACGCGCATGAGGCAGCCTGCTCGACCCGAGCATCTCTCTTTTTCTGTGATTTTACAGAAAAACAGGCAATCACAGTAAAAATGCCAGGGCTCATTCTACAGGACCAGGGCATTGCAGGAGAATGTATGAAGAAGACATGTATTATTTCTACACATGTTTTGGCTGTCAGACTTCCATAATGCCCCTTTAAGGGAACTCAATTTGTGGAACCTCATTTATGGAAAGCCATGGAGACTGGGTTTCCTGTTTTGGGGTGAGAAGTTGAACATCTTGAAAAACCAAGAAAAGTAACAACAACAAAAAACAACCTTTGGGATTTTAACCGTAGCTCTACTGGCAGACCAGTAGCTTCTCAACCACGTGACAAATGAATTGGTCCTTGGTGTCAGCCTTTCAGGATTTTTATGTGCCTTATTTCCCCCACACCTGTTTAAAAATGATTGAAATCCAGGTTTATCTGCCTTGGTTTAAGTCCGTGTTCTGGTCTCGCCTGCATCTGCAGCCATCTTCCACTACCTAATGTCTTTTAAATCTCTCCAGTAATAGGCTCACGCTGTAGGGCACTTCCAGGGGGAAGATCAAAGCATTATACAGTACATTGACTCTGCTGAGGCTAAGCTATGCTGACTAGCCTCGGGTCAGGCCCGGAAAAAAAAGGATCCTAAAATTCCCGTGATGCATGTATAATTTGTCCTTCTCTCTTGAGGAACCAATGCATTTTACAGACTACTTAGTTTTCCACATAAAAGGAAAACGGAGTTTCTGCATGAAAGAAAAAAATATAATTCTTTACATTTAATGTGAGAAGGGACATGCAAATGAGTTTTAAAGAAACATTTAGATATGCATGATTACACGTTTTATTTTAAAGAAATAAATGAAGCTAGCGTAGGAAATGGTAGCCTGACGGGTGGCGCTCATCCATTTTCAACCCTCTTATGGATTCATCTTTATCATCCTGATTTAACTACGTCTTTAATAAACATCTCAGCTTGGAAGCTAAAGACCCTGGTCTCCAAGCCGTTAACGACTCTTTTAATCCGGTTAACAGCTTCTGCAAAAACTGGAAATCTGTCGTTTTGAATCAAATCTTCTTGCGTGTCCCTCGTGCGCAGGAGAACCCGTATGTGATGCGCAAAGACAATTACCGAGACTTCGAGGGCAACGACCAGTACGAGGGTTTCTGCGTGGACATGCTGAGGGAGCTGGCGGACATCTTGAAATTCTCCTTCAAGATCAAGCTGGTGGACGATGGGCTGTATGGGGCCCCAGAGCCCAATGGCTCCTGGACCGGCATGGTTGGAGAGCTAATCAACAGGGTGAGTCATCTCCAGAACACACTGAAGCATGCACAAGTGTTACAACCAGTCCAAACACACACCTACACACACACACACTTATGATGTAGCCCCAAACCACAACTCTGCTGTAACTTCCCATGTCTCAAATTGCCCTCAGAGGGGAGTAAGACTCTTATCTAGGCCGAAAGCTGAATTGATGATTCCCCAAAAGACCGTGGTGAAATGGCTTGGAATTGCCTGCTCTGTCTCTCATAGCTGTAACCGTCACTAACCTCTTTCTCAGTACACATAAATAAATATGGATTTACATTTTGTCCTCCTTGTCCTGACCTATTGTGCCTGTGACTGACGCTCTGGTTGAAGCAGGCTAACGAGAGCCCGTCTCTGTTTAATTACCACCCGGTACACTTCAATTACCAAGCCGAGGTCCCCGTGTGACGTCTGCCACGGTGGTGCTCCCTCAGCTCTCCACACTTCCCGCCCTCCTCGTAGCCTGATCACTGGGCTCTAATTAGTGGCCCATGCTCATCAATTAGCTTCTAATGGAGGCGATGGAGGGGAGGCAGGACGGCCAGAGACCTGCAGGTTTCATGCAGGTGGAAAGTCCAGCCACCCAGGTTTCTCTTTAATTACTCAAATTTAGATTATGGATTCATCGTGTGAGGATGTGAAAGGTAAAGTGCACGTCAGTGCGTTTCATCGAACCTTCATTCAGATGCACAGTCAGACTTTTATGGGTTCCTCCTGAGAATTGCAGAAACAGAGCCCCAACTGCACCTCAACACTTGTCGTTTTCCTGTCTCTCTCTCACTAATTCTCTCTCCCTCTCGCCCTTTGTCCTTCCTGTCCAACTGTCTCTGTCGATCCTTCAGAAAGCAGACCTGGCTGTGGCGGGCTTCACCATCACATCAGAGCGAGAGAAAGTTATCGACTTCTCTAAGCCGTTCATGACCCTGGGGATCAGCATCTTGTACCGAGTTCAATTGGTGAGGGTGTTATCTCGGGCTGCAGGGCACCTGCTGGGTGAAACCTACTTCAGATCTTCTGCTAGACTTCATCTAATTTCAGCTGCGTCGCTCCTAAGCTCAGACTTTAAAACCTTTCCTTGTTAAATGATGAAATCAGACTTTTGCAATAAATCTGAACCTTTTAACAGCAGATGATGTGAGTTTATGGTGATTTGTTTTTTCTCAGGGAACCTCTGTAATAGGGGCAGCTTTACATTGCTAATGAGGTTTTGGATCGGTGCCAGGCGTGCTCCAGCAGAACGCATTGTTAAACAGAGCGTTTATGGATTGTAACGGTGGGGGTATCAAAGCACTGCAGATGCTGAGTCAAAGAGCAGAGAAGGACACTGCCCTCCTGTGGAGCACGGAGGACACCGTCCTCCTCAGCCCTGTAGCTTCTCTCACTGTCTGTCTCTGTTTTCTCATCCGTCTTTTCTCATTCCTTCTTTCTTCTGTTCCAGGGTCGTAAGCCGGGTTACTTCTCCTTCCTCGATCCTTTCTCCCCAGCTGTCTGGCTCTTCATGTTACTCGCCTACCTGGCTGTCAGCTGTGTGCTCTTCCTGGCAGCAAGGTCAGAACATTACATCACACACTGCGTTGATTGTCTGCAGCTCACATCAGAGCTCTCCTGCCACTTAAACACAACTCTCCTGTCACAGATTTGAAGTTTTTACTCAGTCCCCCCCCCACCCCCACCCCCACCCCACCCACACACACACACACACACACACACACACGCACACACACACACACACACACACACACACACACACACACACACACACACACACACACACAGGCAGTCTGACAGGTCCTGTGTGACTTACTGGCCCGAGTGCTGTGTCGAAGGTAGATTACAGCTTTCTTCTCTCGTATCCTGACCAGGTTGAGTCCATACGAGTGGTACAACCCTCACCCCTGCCTGCAGGAGCGCAGGGACATGCTGGAGAACCAGTACACCCTCGGAAACAGCCTGTGGTTCCCAGTTGGCGGCTTCATGCAGCAGGGATCAGAGATAATGCCCCGAGCCTTGTCCACCAGATGTGTCAGCGGTGTGTGGTACGTCACGCAGCACTTGAGCTGAGTGTGTTTTCCTCAAAAATACCTTTCATTTTGATGTTTGACCTTGATTTTGTTGAAAATTGTGCAAAATAGAAAAAAAGCTGCATTGATATTCATCCGGTGAAGGAGAAGTTTTCCCAGCGCTCATCTGAAATATGAGTTTAAGACATGCGAGGTTTGGGAAGCGCGTGGATCTGGGAGCTAATGAGGGAGAAGCAGTCACTCCTTCAGGATTCTTAGAACTTCACACAGGAGCCAGCTGGGTTGATCCTTTTTGGTCTTTCACCTCCAACCAAAGAGACTTCCTCTTTTTAAAAGGACTGGAAGGGATTAGCAGACTGGGATATCGCTGTGCATCCCTCCTTGAATTTTTCTTTAAAGCAGCTTTTTCAACACGCATCTCAGATCTTTCAGAGAGGGAGTTTACGTTCTGAATTACAAGTAAATAAGTCAAATGTGAAGCTGACAAAGAAGGCAGCCAGATGAACCCTGAATGGCACGTGTGCTGGGAAGGAACGGTAAATGGTCTGTATTTGATGTAGCGCCTTCTAGAGTCCTGGAGCCCCCCAAGGCGCTTTACAACCCAGTCAGTCATTCACCCATTCACACACCGGTGAGGATGAGCTACGAGGTAGCTACAGCTGCCCTGGGGCGCACTGACAGAGGCGAGGCTGTCGAGCACTGGCGCCACCGGTCCCTCCGACCACCACCAGCAGGCAACGTGGGTTAAGTGTCTTGTCCAAGGACACAACAACAGCGACGGACTGAGCGGGGCTCGAACCTGCAACCTTCCGATTACGGGGCGAGCACTTAACTCCTGTGCCACCGTCGCCCACAGAAGTGAAAGTCTCTGAGAGCTGATGAGATTAAAATGTAAAAACAGTAAAGTGTAGAGAGTACATGGTGTTCCTGAGTGAAGTCAGCAGATACGAGTTTAGTCTTCAAGGTTCTGAGTGTAGACTATCGGTGTAGCAGGTCTTTACCAGGTTGCTCAGCTATGAAAACACCCTAAAGCACCCGTGTTTCCACCCGACACAGGTGGGCGTTCACGCTGATCATCATCTCCTCCTACACGGCCAACTTGGCCGCCTTCCTGACAGTTCAGAGGATGGAGGTTCCCATCGAGTCTCCGGACGACTTGGCCGATCAAACCAACATCGAGTACGGCACCATTCACGGAGGGAGCACCATGACTTTCTTCATGGTACGACGGGATTTGCACGGCCACTTTTCTGGCTGCTTTTGTTTGTTTTCATGAGAATGCTTCAGGCTCCGTGGGCTGACATCTGTGTTTGTCAAAGAGTGTTGAGTCTAAACATGCTGGCATGTTAGCCTGTGGAAGTGTGTGTAGGTGAGTGTGTTTAAAGTATTTGTGTTGATTCATGTGAATTTTATACTTTAATGTATTTTTTTTGTTTTCTGTGTTGAGGCTGTAAACAAGTTATCTGTGTACTAATTAAACAAGCTTCAGTGTTACATTACATTATGTCCCTCAATGACACCAAATCCACTTAAACACACAAAACTCCCAAACAACCCATCGACGCCACCTTTTATTCTAGTTTGATTTTCTCATTTCTGCAGCTTCACGTTTAAATTCTGTGAATTTTAGATCTATAAAATAAGGCTGTCTGTTTTTTTCTCTTGGATGCATCCTTATTCCACTTATTGACCGTTTTAGGATAGCTTTTAAGTGATTTTGATCTATTTTAGCCTGTTTTTACCATTTTTAAAAAAATATACTTTATCAGTGTTTTATTACTTACTCTTTTTAATTAAATAACACATATTGTCCTACACATTGATTTTAACTTGTAATAATTATTAGTTGTAACCAGTCTTAATACTTTGTTGTACAATATTTTATAAATTTAATTATATGTTTTCTACTTGGTCATCTTTTATCACTGTGTTTTATTTAGATTTTTATTTATCAGCTGTTTTTGTTTAATTTGTTTCTTAACTGTTATCTGAGTCTCATTAGTAAACTAGTGTTTCCTCTGTGGGGGCCGGCTGCCCCGGGGGCAGCGGTGGGCTGTGGCGGCCGGGGTGCTTCCCATGTCTACTCTTGCCAAGGCTATTGCTGCCAGTCTTGGTGCTCCCGGTGCAGTTGGCTCCTTTGATGGCGTTTTCGTCTTCTTTGTATTTACTACATCTGCACTCAGCCAGCTGCCCTTTCTCTATTACGTGTGTGCGTGTGCGTGTGCACGTGCGGGAGTTTGCATCTGCTTGGGACGGGATTGAGGGTGGGAGGAGGGAGAAACAAAGGGGACCTCTTATGTGAATCTGTGTGGGACGGGTGGGAAACCGACTGCTGTCTGGTTGTTTTTAATATTGTAAAGCGCTTTGAGCTGCATTTGCATGAAAAGCGCTTCATAAATAAATTTTGATTGATTGATTGATTGATTGATTCCATTTCCTGTTCTCGAGTTATCTTCATTTGGGATGTTCACGGGCGCTCGTGCGAACACAAACAGCTGAAGTGTCATTGTGATGTTTCGTTTTCACTGCAGAACTCGAGGTACCAGACGTATCAGCGAATGTGGAACTACATGAACTCCAAGCTGCCCAGCGTATTTGTGAAAAGCACGGAGGAGGGCATCGCCCGCGTGCTCAACTCCAAGTACGCCTTTCTGATGGAGAGCACCATGAACGAGTACCATCGTGGCCTCAATTGTAATCTCACTCAGATCGGAGGCCTGCTGGACACCAAGGGCTACGGCATTGGCATGCCGCTTGGTAAGAGCAAACCCGCATCCGTGTCCGGATAAATGCCAGAGACCCAAAACTACGGTCCACTAAAGATTGAAGCTTTTATAGATGGTTAGTTTTGTGAATTCTTGTCAGTTTTGGGTTTCTCTCCTCAGGAAAAAACAAAAAGTAATAAATTAGAAAATAATGAAGATTATGGAAGATAATCAGTTAACTTGTTTGTGTTTCCATTTATTCATGTAAAATTTTAATACACATTTTTAAACCGCCTGTATTTTTATTGCCTTTATTGCTCAGACTTTTTCTAATTTATCTTTTTGTTTCTGATAAAAGTATTAATGCAATTTATTTTGAATTTTCTTTATTTGTAAAACTAACATTTAAAACAATATTCTGGTTGATTTTTTTTCCTGTGTATCATTTCTGAGCCAAGCTGCGTACAATAAAACCAACCTACCTGTAATAAAATACACCTGAGCCTTTTAAAATAGAAAAATGTTCACAGATAAAGGTTGAAATAAAACTAAAATAAAGATTTGAATTGTTTAATGTTAATGTCGTCGTCGTCGTCTTCCTCCGCTTATCCGGGTCCGGGTCGCGGGGGCAGCATCCCAACTAGGGAGCTCCAGACCGTCCTCTCCCCGGCCACCTCCACCAGCTCCTCCGGCAGGACCCCAAGGCGTTCCCGGACCAGATTGGAGATGTAACCTCTCCAACGTGTCCTGGGTCGACCCGGGGGCCTCCTGCCGGCAGGACATGCCCGGAACACCTCACCAGGGAGGTGTCCAGGAGGCACCCTGACCAGATGCCCAAACCACCTCAACTGACTCCTTTCGATCCGGAGGAGCAGCGGTTCTACTCCGAGTCCCTCCCGAATGTCCGAGCTCCTCACCCTATCTCTAAGGCTGAGCCCGGCCACCCTACGGAGGAAACTCATTTCGGCCGCTTGTATCCGCGATCTCGTTCTTTCGGTCATTACCCAAAGCTCATGACCATAGGTGAGGATTGGGACGTAGATGGACCGGTAAATCGAGAGCCTGGCTTTCTGGCTCAGCTCCCTCTTCACCACGACAGATCGGCTCAGCGTCCGCATCACTGCAGACGCCGAACCAATCCGCCTGTCGATCTCCCGATCCCTCCTACCCTCACTCGTGAACAAGACCCCGAGATACTTAAACTCCTCCACTTGAGGTAGGACCTCTTCCCTGACCTGGAGTTGGCAAGCCACCCTTTTCCGGTCGAGACCATAAATGTTAATGTTTCAAACAAATGATTGATATTAGGGGGTTTAGTTCATCTGACCTAAAGAGAACATGAAAAATAAAATCCACAATTCAAAACATGGTGAATTAGAGTTTTTGACAAAGTCTGAAAAAACGATTTTTAAAAGAGACGTAAATATCAGGTTTAAGTGGTTTTCTCAGGATTCAGGGGTTCCTATCACCTTATGTGTTTTTCCTCTACAGATGTCAGTGGTTTGTGGTTTAAAGGTCACAAATACAGCTGTCATGTATTTGATTAAATCTGCTGATAAAGTATTGGACTTGGTTGTGACGCCGACAGCACAACGGCTCGGTGCCAGGGGCGATGCAGAACGTCCCGTTTCTTCACTGATTCTGCAGCATCAGTGCCACAGTTTGTGGTATAATCAAAAATAAATCCATAATTGTTTCTCTAAATTATTAAAGGTGGCAGCATGTTTATTTACAAAAGCTTCAAATGGTAAATAGACACGAAACTAAATATATTCTTTGTGTGGCGATTCTGATTCAGGACGGATTTTCTCCTTTGGTTTAAAGGTTTCATATAAAGTCTGGAACCTTATCAATGCAGGGGTGCTCCCAGAACATTTCTATGGGGGCAAGTGTCAAATTTGGGGTGGCACACACATTTTGATCCTTTGTGTGTGTTTAACTTGTGGCAATGCTCCTGCACAAATTGCATCCACCACATTTACCTCAAGTTCGAGCAACGATATTTCAGAAGACAACTTTTCAAACTCTTTAGTCATTTTACAATGAGTTGCTTTGGCAACTGTTAAATTAGCCGATGCAGTCTTAAAAGCATTCACACACTGTTGATATTGAGTGACGCAGATCTGACAGGTGTTTCTAATCCAAACGTTTCTCGTCTCTGTTGGTGGACAGTGTCGGAAACTGGTAGAAGAGTCACGTTTAGCCTCCATGGTAAACCCAGAATGATCAATCATATTTCAAAAATAAAAACTGTTCCTCAATTAAATCAGAGAAGTGAGGTGGACAGCAATTTTCCAGGGGTGGCCATGCCCCCCCTTGCCCACCCCTCGGAAGTGGCACTGTTGTGGCAGATCCATGAACAGGTTCTCTTTGTTGTAATAAACACAAACTGTAATGATCCCCTGGCAAGACCTGGAAATTCAGCCACACACAGGATAAGCAGTAAAAGATGGTTTTATTGAAACAGAAGGTTTGCTTGGGATGAAAAAACCGCTTGCAGGAGCGGCAGAGAGAGAGCAGGTGAGGGACTGATTTCTTGAATCTTTCCAGAACCAGAGAAATGACAGAGCTGCTTAACAGGAGGGACGTCAGACAGCAGGAGGTAGAGGTTTCTTTCTGCGTGGAAAGTGGAGGGAGGAGAGCCAAGGTAAAAATGCTCACAGGGGGCGAGATCCAGAATTCACTTGAAACACACAAGGCAAACAAGAGGTCATACACGAGGAGGCAGCGAGTTGAATACTTGCAGTTGGATTAGGCAGGTCTCTGTGGTCAATATCCAGAAGACGGGTCAGGTATCCGTGAGGCAGAAAGGCAAACAGGATCCAGGAAGGGCAGAGCAAGAGGCGTGGTCAGGGGCATAAACTTGATCAGAGCAGAAGACAGGAACATGAACTTGGTCTTGGATAGATGACTGGATATCTGAAGCAGAGAAGCACACAAGATAATCTGGCAGAGAGGACAGGGAGGTGGAGGGTTTAAATAGTGAGGGGAGCAGGTGGAGATAATCAGGTCAGGCACAGGTGAGCATGATGATCCTAATGAGCGCAGGTCCCAGAGAAGAGCAGCATTACACAAACTCATGAAAGTAACACAACTGGCAGAATGATTCTTTGGTAATTTGTGAAACAATAATCCACCCTGACGTGTTTAAAGTTCCTCCGTAATCTGCTGCTTTTCCTCAGAGAAAATGAACTCAGAGAGAGATAAAGCTTTATTGCCAGTGCTCCAGCGAACCAGAGCATAGGATCTTGACTTCACAGAACAGCCTGACCAAGGTTAGACACACATCCTGTTTCCTCAGCGGGAGCAGCCCTGTGTGGCGTTCAGCCAACTGTATCCACAGGTGGGTGGGAGATCTTGGGAGGAGCACAGAGCACATTGAGTTCCTGCAGTTTGATGACCTCGCTAGGCAGAAGACCACAATCTGAAGGTGGGGGGTAGGTCGGGTATTCACAGCATCTGTCTGCATTCCTTCAGTCGTGGGGGATGTTGTTAGCTCGAGGCTGCCTTGGTACCAGATTTGGATAACATGACTTTGTTTGGGTCAGGCAGAGATAATTTTCCTCTCTGCCTTGAAGTCTGTATTGATCATTCAAGTCCTTCAGTGAAGGCAATTCAGGTTTTAAACATCTCCACACCATCCAGTGACCCTCTCCGAGATGACATCCATTTTGCGCACTAATACCGGCAACGCAACAAGGACATTGTCCAGCTCACGGTTCACCTCGAGTAACGTCACAGTCTGTGAGCATCCGCCCGGGCGGTACTATCCATGGGTGCGGGTCGCACTCCAATCGCTCCCGACTTCCCAAATTTCCAGAAAACCAGATATCCTCCCACTCCGATCCGAAGAAATCCAGTGATCATCCAGCCAAATATCCACACGTCTTCGACATCCTCAATGGACAACTGAGAGAGGCATACGATCCTCCAGACCTGCCAGGAATCGAGCGCATATCCCGCTGTGTGTCCCTTGAGGGCAAGTGGGAGCCCCCTCCTCCGTTCTCATCGTGGAAAATATCGTATCAATCACGTTGAATGACCAATTAATTAAATCCATTTCTAAAAAATAGGGATTTCCAGAAGAAATGCAGAGAAGCGCTCTGACAGGACAAAGAGCCTTGGGAAAAAAAGATAAGGGAGCGAAAGCAGAAGCGTCTACTCTGCAAGTGCCAGAAGAGAAAAAAAAACTCGTGTTATCTTGAAGGACAAAATCATTAGTCTAGGAGCTATTTACAGCTGAGATCAAAGTAGGTCACCTATAGCCCCAGCGAACTCTGTCGGAGAAGCGGATCAGCCCGACCGGTGAGCGGTCGAAGCTACGCCTCTGGCAGAGGAAGTGTCAGCGTGTGAATGAGCATTTCCAACGGTCGAGGCGTAATCTCAGATACCAACCTGAACACTCATCCACAAAAAGAACAGAAGAAGGATTTAGAAGTCTGATGGTGAAACACCCACATGAGATCAATGAATGCTAAACAGATGTGTACACTCGTTGCTGACCTGTGAGATTAGATCTGAAAACATGAGCTTGTGCTGATTTAGTCGGTAGTCTGTGGGATGATCAAGACCTTGATCCGGTGATGATCAACATGCTTCTGTCATTGAAACTGGGTTTAAACCTAAAGGTCAGGGGTGACATTTAAACATGTGGATGTGCAGGCGTCATAGAGATTATTTACATCTTAGAAAACGTGTGTCGGTTTTCAGGGTTGATGCTTGTCTCTGTGGACAAAGCTGCAGTCAGGAGACGGTTAGCCCGCAACAACTCGACACGTTCGAGATCCGAGCAGAGAACGACTTTGTTATTCTCCACAGATATAAAAGACAATAAATAAAACATGATGCTCTCGTTTGTTGTAGTCTTTAGTGAGCAGGCAGCTCCTGAAGGAGACAAGACTTGAGCAAATAGTCTCACACGACAAACTGTTTAGATTTTACTCACATCTGCATGTTACGTTTTAAATGTTAAGCTTTTATTTATTAAATTTTAGTGATCTGGCTGAGCCAGCTGATGGCTGCTCCAAAGAAAATCTGTCAGCGCTCTTCGTAGAGAGTTACCAGAGAATTAGCCTGCTTTTATGGTGTCAAAGAAAATATTTTAGCAGTTTTTAGTCAAATTAGCCCTCAGTTCTCTGTCTGCTCTTGTTTATTTAGCTCGTGACTTCCTTTGATTTCCCTTTGAGCAGCAGCTGCATCTCTCTCTGGTTGTAATCTGGTTGTTTGTCTCACTAATCTTCTCTTTCTACTCACCACAAGATCACTCGTATCCACTTCAAAGCTGAATCTTTTTGATCTCCTGCACTCGTTTGTCTGCAACAGCTCTTCTCCTCCGCGGTCACACACCGACTCTTTTCTTACTTCCTTGTCTTCTGCCAGGATCCCCGTTCAGAGAGGAGCTCTCACTGGCCATCCTCCAGCTGCAGGAGAACAACCGGCTGGAGATACTGAAGAGGAGGTGGTGGGAGGGAGGTCAATGTCCCAAAGAGGAGGATCACCGTGCCAAGGGTAAGCTGAACAATACCCTCCTATGTCTACACTAACAACTGCCACACTTGCAGCTACTGCAGCGAATGGCTAACCTAATGTTCCAGCAAAAGCACAGAGGGACAATCTAGTTTCCTAAATTTATTCTGGCAGGTAGTTTTTTATGTGAGTTTTAACATTTACACATGCAAATTTAATGTGCATGTTCAGAGACAGACAATAATGCCTCACGGTTCAAAGTTTTGGTAATAAAATGCATATTTGCAGTTTTTACCAAACAATCCAGAGAATCGCAATTCTATTATTTAGATCTTTGAAATTTTCAGCTCGTTCCACTCCGCTGATTTGGTTCTTCACGTTAAAGACGTTCCCAAGACAGTCTGACACAACTTTAGTGGTGATAAATGAAGCTGAAAGGATGAAGAAGTCTCGAGTTTTTGTGCCAACAGTGGGTCAAGCTTCAAAAATGTGATCTACAGTTTACGTAATGCAGAATGACAGCGTTTTTCAGAGTCATTCCCTTCATAAAAAACGTTTGATGTGATGTGGAGAGACTAAAAAAGCAAAACTAGAGATTGTGAAACTGCATCACGTGGATCAGAGGGAAGGGATTAGATGTGATGGTATAAATAAAAGTTATATTTCAGCTTATTTGAAAATACTTTAACACAAATCACTAATTTGTTTCATTTATGTGTAATAAAATTATCTCCAGCTTTAACGAATAAAAGAGCTAGAACGAAGAACAATTAATGCTCATACCTGTGAAAAAACCTCAGTTTGGAGAAACAGAGAGTACATCTAACCATACAGATGAGCCAAAGCTAGTCTGAGCTGATTAACTCATTCGCTGCCAGCCGTTTCCTGATCGGTAAAGTCCTTCGCTGCCAGCGTTTCTCACCGTTTTTACTACTTTTTTAAGAGTGACAGAACGTTGCGCGCTAGGATGATGTCAACGCCAAATTAACCAAAACAAAGCGGAGACTCACCTCTTACATCAGGAAGAATCCGCGCGTTTCGAGCGATATCCGTTCTTACATAATCCGTTGTTGAATTGTGATCGGCAGAAGCTTTTCCGGTTCGCGCCTCACTTTTTTTTACAGCAGCGGCCCAAAAGGATCTCCTAACACATGGATGTTCTGCTTCCTGATCACGTGACGTGTGACGTATGCGGATGAAGATCGGCTGTAGAGCTGAGATGTTTGTTCTCAGTGTGCAGGGGCACGTTCTGATGCCCAAACAGTAAAAAAAAAAATGCAAATGAAGACTTTAGTCGACATTGGCAGTGAATGAGTGAAGTTACTACATTTTTCTGCGGTCTGAAAAAGAACATTAATTAAACATATTGATCATAGTAGTTAATACAAATTTAACTTTAAGAAATGCACGGCTTCTGTGGAAATCCTTGCAAAAAATTAGACAAAACTTTTTCTGCAATAACAATTAATTGTGAAATACACGGCAATGTTATTGTTTTAAAATGCCATTTGAATCAGCTGATATGAAAGTTTTGATACTTGAATTGCTGTTAAGGGTTCATACAGAATACTTATCTTTGCATCAGTGCAATCATGTGGGCCTCTAACGCCTCAACAAACACTCCAAGTATAAAAATATCCTTCCATCTATTTTATGTCAGTGTTTGGTCTTAGGAATTATGTGCTGTTTCAAAATGTCCTCATTTGTGATGTCACAAACAGGAAAATTAGCATAGAAGCACCTCTCACGTGCAAGAGAGTGCTGCTGCTGGAGGTACAGCGGCTCTATTCCAAGCCCTTCCTGGATATTGGTGCTTCTCAGCTTATAGCAACCTGATCGAGGACTGGGTGGGCGTGGCCAACTCCAAATAGTTTTTCCTAAAATGACAGAACCCTGAAAGGGGTAATTCTGGAAGGTACTGAAAATGTCAAGAATGAAACTGTTGAAATATCTACGTGAGAAGGAGAATGGGAGACCATGGCCTTGAATAGGAAAAGAGTAGAATGCCTTTGTCAGGTCATGTGTGAGGTGGTGCCTCAAGTGGGGGAGTGAGTTTAGGAATATCGGGTCTTGTTCATGAGGGAGGGAAAGATGGAGCGCGAGATTGATAGATGGATTGGTGCTGCATCTGCAGTGATGGGGGAGTTGTACCGATCCGTTGTTTACGAAGAGGGAGCTGAGCCACGAGGCAAAGCTCTTGATTTATGTCCCATCCTTCACCTATGTTCACGAGCTTTGACCAAAATACGAGATTGTGGATACAAGCGGCCGAAACGAGCTGTCTCCACATGATGTCTGGGCCCTCTCACAGATAGGGTGAGAGGCTCGGTCATCCGGGAGGAGCTTGGAGTAGACCCGCTGTTCCTCCACGCCAAGAGGAGCCAGTTGAGGTGACTCGTGCAACTGGTTAGGATGCCTCCTGGACACCTCCCTGGTGAGGTTTCCTGGGCACGTCCAACTGGGCGGAGACCCAAGGGAAAGACACGCTGGAGGGACTATGTCTCTGAGCTGGCCAGGGATTCCCCCAGAGTAGCTGGCCCAAGTGGCTGGGGAGAGGGAAGTCTGGGCCTCTCTGTGGAGGCTACCGCCTCCTCGACCCAACCCTGAATAAGCAGATGATAATGGATGGATGGATTTGGTGCAAAGAACCTCAATAACATGTTTTGATCGTAGAACTACTAAAATGTCATAATGTGTCCCCTTTAAGAAACTTTGACCCAGATGGGACTATTTTAGTTAATCTAAATAATCAAGAATAATCTCGGTTTCTTGAAACAGGTAAGTGAAAATCTTAGGTGTGTTCTTGCTGTGTCTTTCTAAATCCATGCTTTCGTTCTTTTTTAAACACAGAAACAGTTTTGTTTACCTGTTAGTAGCTACAGTTTCGCCGACGGCTGCCGGCTTCTTCAGGCTGACGCTGATGGTGGCGCGTCACTTCCTTCTCCGTTTATCTGCGGGCAGCAGAGGACGTTGTCGCCCTCTACTGCCCGCTCTCCCCTCTCCGACGATGCAGTCCCATGCGTGGTCCAGCGTGTAAACTCCGTCGTCCCTGTTCATGGTCCCTGCATCGTCGGAGAGGGGAGAGCGGGCAGTAGAGAGCGACAACGTCCTCTGCTGCCCGCAGATAAACGGAGAAGGAAGTGACGCGCCACCATCAGCGTCAGCCTGAAGAAGCCGGCAGCCGTCGGCGAAACTGTAGCTACAAACAGGTAAACAAAACTGTTTCTGTGTTTAAAAAAGAACGAAAGCATGGAGGTAAGTGAAAAATTACAACTGATAAATTGTATCATCTGAAGTCGGACAATAACAGTTATCAACAATAGAAATCAAACTGAGGACACATTGGATTAGAATCCTTTTTCCATCTTAAATCTGCCACCTGACACCTCAGCCTGAGGCATTTCAGCTCCTGTTCATCATCGTAGCGCTCTATTCTCCAATAATCAGATGTGCTGACATGCGTTCCCTTTGACCCCCTTCAGGTCTGGGCATGGAGAACATCGGGGGCATCTTCGTGGTGCTGATCTGTGGCCTCATCATCGCCGTGTTTGTGGCCATAATGGAGTTTGTGTGGTCGACACGCCGCTCGGCAGAGACCGATGAGGTATGCCCCCATACCTGCCCTCGCCGACCCCACAGACACACCCCAGTAGGTTCCCCTGGCATCGCGCCAGCCCTTCTGACTATCTTTTCTGTGTGTTTGTGTGCAAAGGTGTCCTCCTTCAGCTTTTGCCTTCGTTGTGTTTGTCCCGACTCGTGATGTGCCGTGCGTTAAGTGCACGTGTGATGAGAAGAATGTTTTAAAAACCACAAAGATAGCTTTAGAGGAACTGTGTGCATGCCCTAGCTGTGTTGACCTCTGCGTGTTGATGTTTTAACATGGTGGCACCAGGTGTTTGTGAGCTAAACTTAACAGATCAGATAAGCAATATTGAGAAATGCCAATATTTGCTTGCATACAGAAGTAGGATGATCTTTTTTCCCCTGGCATTAAATGTCATGATGTATCTTCTTTTACATGCCTCACATGTACGCTGGTATTCTTCGTTTCCATTACTGGATTACTTCTCACCCATCTCACTGTGCGTCTCCCTCTGTTTTTCTAAAACACACACACACACACACACTTCCTGTCATTTGGCCATCAGTGTGTGTTCTCTAAGAACGAGTACTGTTTCTGCTTATGTGAGCACATGACCTTTTATCATGTTTTTATGAAAGCGATCGTCTTCAGCTGCACATGTCCATGCATTTCATGTCATGTGTTCAAATAACAACAGTGATGCGGTTGGAAGGATGCTTAACGGAGTTGGAAAGTGTGTGTGTTTGTGTGTGTGTGTGTGGGTTGTGCGAGTTTTTGTACACGTGCATCAGAGTTTGCCTGTTTGTCCTTCGTGCCACGATAAAGTGCTCATAAACTAAAGAACATTTTGGTGTTCTGTGTGTTTAGACTGTAATAACTCTGCTCCTTAAATATCCTCCCATCTCTACATCTTTTCTGTTCTCAATCATCACTCCGTTGGTCATTCTGTGCCTTCGATCCATCCGTACCGTTTCCTTTCCCGCCCACCGTGTCTGCCGTTTCTGCTTCTGCGATGCCGTCTTACTTTGGAGCTTTTTGAATTTCCTTTGACTTTTGTTGTTTTCCTTCTGCCTTTTTTATGTATTGTCTTGATGTGCTGCCTGCCTACTTTTTGTGTCTGTGGCACCTCTCTCCCCACCTTTGCCTCCCTTCCCTTCTCCTTCCCTCCTTTCCTTCTTCCCTCCTCCTTCCTTTTTCTCCTCCAGGTGTCTGTTTGTCAAGAGATGATCACAGAGTTCCGAAACGCCGTCTCCTGTAGGAAGAGCTCTCGGCTGCGCCGCCGTCGGCCCCTGAGCGGTTCCGCGGCCTTACGCCACCCCACCCGCATCGCTCTCGGGGCCCCGCGGCCCCTGCGGCTGGTCCGAGAGACGCGGCTCAGCAACGGCAAGCTGTACAGCGGAGCTGGCCCTCTGACCGGTGGAGCGGGAGGCACAGGACTGCCAGATCTGGGCCCTGGTCCCCAACGGATCCTAGATGATCCGCTGGGAGCCAACACCACCCCGCCTCCCCCTGCCCCCACTCCTGTGACGCTGCCCGCTCGCAGCTGCGCCCATGTGAGGATCTGTCAGGAGTGCAGACGGATCCAGAGCCTCAGATCAGGCAGCAGTATAGGATCAGCCTCGACAAGAATCCCACCTTCATCCGCCCCCCTTCCCAGACTAGCCCCTCCCCCACCCCCATCCTCATCCAACACAGACAGCGAGGGCGGAGGGGGGTCGAGCCCTAGAGGACTACCTAGCAGCCCCCCATCTCATTCCCCTCGACCCATTCTTCCTCCTCAGAGCAGCAACAACACAGACCTGCTGGTCAACCAGAAATGAGTGCAGTCTCACCTGCCTGGGGGGGGGGGGGGGGGGGGGGGAATGTGGGTGATGATGAGGAGAAGTTGATGAAGAGGAGAATGAATGTGATGCCTATAAAAGTTCCTTTAGTCATCAGAAACAGGACCGATCAGGAGTTAAACTGTTTGGTTTGACGTTCGGCTCTTTTTGGACAAATCCAAGGAAGTGAACTCGACGGAAGGATCTTACGCTCTCCTCTCTCCGACCCGAGGGACCCGGTTTTCTGTCAGACATTTTGCCGTGAGTCGACCAACTCTTTGAGGACACACTGGCTTCAGAACAGCGACTCAGAAAACTTCCAGAGAATAATTTCCTGTTGTTTCTTACTTTTCTTTTGTCGTTTGTTTTGTTACGATCATTCTAAGTGGGAATAAATGCAGACTATGTGTGACACTTTGGTGGATTATACTAAGAAACGTGACAGTTGTTGGACTTGTGTGTCTCTTCCTGTGCTCCGAAGCCGCTTTTTGGAGGAAAGTTTGATAAAAACACGTCAAGACAATTCAGAATAGTAGAGGGAGAAAAGCACCGGCCTTCATTTCTTCAACCTGGTTTTTAAAGACCAAGTTCACTCGTTTTTGATACATTTGCAGAGTTCTCTAGTATAAATGAATGACTTGTGAGACGACAAAAAGCTCTTGCTCTTCTGTTTCAGGAATTAATAGTTAGCTGGAGGACTTACTTCCTGATAATCAGATTGTCTCACCCCTGATTGGCTAACAGCAAAGTGACTCTACCACTGACTCTGATTGCATTGCAGCGTTGATCTTCTTATTCCACAAATAACACAAGCCTGAAGGAGTTCTGCCGTGTGGTGGAGTTGCTAATGCTAACGGTTAGCTTCTATTAGCTGAGCTGTGCTCTACTCTCTCCTGGATGCTAAATCAACAACACGGACGAGTCCATGAATGCTAATTTTTAATGTGACATAAATCCAAGCATTTCCCCGTCTATTTTACAACTACGGCTAATGTAGGAAATAGAGGTAGAAGACTATTTTCACGTTCATATGAAACTCAGAGTGACTGATTATATTAAAAAAATAACAAGTTAAAAAAAAAGAACTTTCTCTTTAAAATCTGCGCGTTTGTCTCTGATAGCTCAACAGGGAGCTTGTCTCCAGCAAAGAGAAAAACAAAACGATATCCTGCTAATGTTAGCTAATCAGACCGCCCCAAAAGAAGACGCAGCAGAGTGAGAAGCTTTGAAAAGTGAAATTATCGCCCCTCGTTATCCCAAGTAATACTCGCCAAGCTTTCACGTTTTTTATCCTTCCCAACCGTTGTTCGTCCTGCATAGATGAAACAAACCGGGCGAGCTGGAGGAACAAGACAGAGAGGAAGGGAAAAGTGAAAAAAACAGAACAAAGTAAAACAAAAACTCCTGAATGAGAAATCCGTCTCTGAGTTTATTTTATTTCTAGATCTGTTAATTCTGGGCATCTTTAAGGGACTTGTTAGATCGCCAGCAGGCTGCAGCCGCTTCTCTACTCATTTCTGAACAGACCTTCTTGGCCGTCCACCGCGGCAGCTCCTGCCAGCGTGATGGACTTAACTCAGCCACGTCGATACTGCTTCCAGCTTTTGATCGCCTAATTACTCCCCTCTGTGCTGAGGACACATTGTTTGAATAAAACAACCAGCCAGTAAAAAATTGAACAAATATGTACTTTTCTACGATTTAAACAATTTTAACCCAAGGCTGGGGGAGGTCACAGGATGCTGGCAGCAGAGTCTCTGGGATTATGGAGCTGTCGTGAATCCTGCAGATGCTTGACTGGATTCAGACGGGGACGTGTTGAAGGCTGTCTGGGATAACGTGGCTCAGGCGGCAGCAGCGTTTAGGCGGGCTGTTTTTGTCAGAGTTACCTCATCATGAATTCTGCCTCACGTTTCCCAGCAGGACCTTGACCTGTAATGAGACGATCAGCGTTGTTTATCACATCTGTCAGATTGTAATGCTCCCGTTGATCTATAAATTAGCCAAGTGGATTTTTATCTTTTTAACCTTTTTCTCAGTCTGAACACACTGTGGCTGATGATTTATGGGATACGATCAGCAAACACAACTGGTGCAGTCTGTAATCAGTGGAGGAGCTCAGATTCATGAAAAATGTGTCACAATAGCATCTAAAACCCTTCCTATCTCAATCTTGGCCAGATGACGTCAGGTTGGATGTGTGTTTGTTTACGTGATTGTATGTTCTGACATCTGCTCTCAACTGATATAACAGGGAAAAGATGAGGCTTCATACAGACGACAGCATGGATGGATGCCTGCATCACCGACAACATGAACAGCATTATTTATGGAAGCACAAAGAAAGAGAGATTATAAACATTTCTTTATGATAATCGTTGCCTCCTTCATTCCAGATAACTGGAACTGAACCGAGCCGACACAAAACCGCAGATATTACATGATGTCATGTATGTGTATGTTTCTGATAGTTGAGGAAAAGACCAAAAACTTTTTTTTCACACTATCCGGTGTAAATGTGCCTGTGATAATTCCCAACAACGCACCATTACTCACATCTGCTTCCAGCTGCAGGGTGCAGCTGTTTTGTTATTTGGACCGTCCGGTTATTTCCGCCACCCAAATGCAGTTTAGTGTGTGTTGTTGTCATAAAAATGTTGCACTAGTTTTCTGTTTTAGAATAAAACGTTAGGATTATTCACGTGGACGCGTGCCAGAAGCCAGGATCATGCAGGATTTACAGAGGATCGGTAACGGGGAGGGTTTGTGTGTCCAACACCACAGATTACCGTTAGCAGACTCAGATCCAGATTAGCAAAACTGGGATTATTATTAGCTTTTTGTTTTCTGTAAATTAGGGTTTGAGTTTGTTAAAGACCAAGTTGTCTCTAGTACAAATGAAGGGCATCTCTCCTCTGATTGGCTAACACCAACACAACTCTACCACTGGCTCTGTTTATTCCGCAACGTTGATGTTTTACCTTTACAAATAAAACACGCCTGGAGGAGTTCTGCTGTGTGGTGGAGTTACTAACGCTAACAGTTAGCTTCTGTTAGCCCAGACGTGCTCTGCTCTCTCCTCGACGCTGAATCAAGCTTTACCTGTCGTGAGACAAGCTGGGTGAACGCAGATTTAAAGTGTGACGCGGATCGGACTGGCTTTTCCAATCCGAGTGTTTATCTGTTTTCTAACGCGGCTAACACAGGAAATAGGGGCAGAAGACAATTTTCACTGCATGTGAAACTCAGAGTGACCAATAGTTTTTCAAAAATAACAAATGTAAACTGTTTCTCACTTAACTTGGATTTGAAGTCAGAAGCGATAAACTCTGTTTTGGTCTCATTCGTCATTTCCAGAAACTAAACTAGTTTAATATTATGCATTTTATTCATGTTTTTCTTCTGCAGGCTGCGACTAAATGCTTCTAAAACCTGCTGCTGATTCAGTTCCCAGACGTCTCCTTGATGGATGACTCAGTATTCACGTGTAGTTCATGTTCTCAGCGTTTACAGAAAGTCTGTCTGATTAGTGAGTTCAAGGGAGGATGGCGTCGGAGACCTCAGAGTTCACGGATGCAAAACGTTTAATGGAAACTGTTACCTGATTCTGATCATCCCGCTGTTTTCTTTGTGGTTTTCTTAATGTTTAATTCTTTTACGGCTGGATGTCCAAACAGCCCTAATGCTTCACCTGTTTGCTCCCGGTTCTTGGAAGCTGTTGTTTTCCTGCTCTGCGTGGCGACATCAATATCTCCCTTTTGTTTTCACAAAGCTATCATCTCAGAGCATCTCCGGAGCGTGAAGAATAGGAACAGCTTTAACATTTAACCAGAGTGTCCTGCTATCAGCTGAGATCTGCTTAAGCAGCAGAACTTACTAAACAAAGAAGGGCGCTCGCTGGTTTGAAATGATTTACAAAAACCACCGGTCCATCATTTCTACATCCCTCTGAAAGCTGCAGTTGTTCTTTGTGCTAGCATTACATCCCCGCAAGAGACCATGCACTTTGCAGTGATGAAGATTTGTCGACACCTTTGTGATGCTGATGAGGATGATAACAATGTTTGCACACGTTACGCTTATTTCTGTGAAAGCTGGATTTGATGCTTCTGTCTTTAGTTCTGGTTACTTCTGCCTTTGTCAAGAATGCCGACGAAGCAACGTGAGCTAATACCTTTCCACAGTACACACACACACACGCACGCACGCACGCACGCACGCACACACACACGCACGCACGCACACACACACACACACACACACACACACGCACGCACGCACGCACGCACGCACACACACACGCACGCACGCACACACACACACACACACACACACACACACACATCTGTGTCTCTTGATTCTTTTGTTGTCTGACATCTGAAAGCCTCTTCGTGTGTTTTCTTTAGTTTATGACAAAAGCACACGAGCGCCCGACTGGAAACTTCACCTAAAAACGCACCCGGACCTGCAAAGTTTAGCCTAAGAAAAAGAAAAAAAACTCTAAGGGGAGGGAGGGCCACTAAGCAAATGGAGTCTGAACAGTCGCCCCACCAAACAAAACATTTCTTTACTTTTATGTTATTTTCTTAGGAATCTTTTCATATTTCTATATTAGTGCCAAATGGATTCTAAACAGTGATGATTATTATTCCTACTGAGGAGTCTGAAGCTCTGTCGTGTGCTTGTGGGTGACGTTAGGAGGTTCCTCAGAGACTTCCACCTGTTGTTCAAAGATTGACACACAAAGTTTTGGATTAAAAAATATTCCAACCATCCTTCTGTGATGTTTCTGTGATGGTCTCTAAACTGGAAAAGTAACTCCCTACATCTGAGTGATACAAACCCTGATACGAGCCATAGTTTGTAGTATTTTACTAATAGAAAAAGACTCATTGAATTATGTGACCATAGAAAATTTAAAGTGATATTTTGCTACTTTTTCATATTTTAAAATCCTTTTCTTGAGGCAGTATGTGCTAAAATTACCCTACAGGGTTAATGGAAGGCCAGCCAGTATCCACCATAGGTGTAGCCACGTCAGCAGAGATGACAGGAGGCGGGGCCACTGAGGGTGATACAGCTAGGCTTCTGGATCCACAGCACCTCGAAGCAGCGAGAGCGAAGCTCGGTCCACTGCCCCTACAGAAAAATTGGTTTGGTTGAGCCGTCTTCAAATCCACAGATGATGTGTCACCTCCCACATTCCACACCCAAAATAACACAAACACCCAGAGGAAGAGCACGTCTCCAGGAAGAATGAGGGATCTTAAGATCCCGGACGAGCCCCCACTTGTTACGCTCCAGGCTGTCTAGGGAGCCTAGAGTAAAAAAACAGAGAAGTGAGAAATGAAATAAAAACATAAACGGCACCAGCCATAACACATGTTTCTGTTCTGGGAGAGAAGTAGGAATCCATTGTGGTTCTTTTCCTTATCAAAACACAAGAGAATGAGACAACTTTGTCCTTACAGCGTGGGGCTTTTTATTTGTACAGTTCAGCAATACATCAGCAGTAACTTGGGACGCGTTCAGCCAGAGCGCACAGGGCCTCCGGCTCCAGCTCAGAAAAGCCTGCTTACACCGAAAATGCGACCCCACTTACTCTTTTTACTGACGTCGCTCCTGTATAGCTTAGGAAATGGGTCTCACATACACGACTTGGGAAGTGTTTGAGGAGTCTTTCCCAGCAACCCATGCAACAAGACAGGAACCATCTGCTGCTCTTGACTTCCGATAAACATTCAGATAAATGTTAGTCTTACTGGAAATTATGCAAACTGGACTGAAAACAGGATATTAAACATCACGCACACAAACACAGCTCTTGGCTCCTACACCATCTTCATGAGAATTAAGATCCAATTGGTTCTGCTGTAGAAATGGTCCACGGACTTGCCAACAACGGTTCAAATGGAAAGTCTGCAGGATGCAGGACTTTTTCACATCCCAAATCATCAGTGAGTGATTTAAAATATTATCTCACAAATAATTACGCAATAGCTGTAAAAAGACTACGATGATGAAAGTTTTGTTTCCTTTGCCGGAACCTGAAGGAGAACATTTCTCAGATGAACCGGTGACGTCATGGCTGAGGAGGCGTATGGCCACCAGGTGGGACGCCAGCTCTCTAGTCTGTAAAACATCACAAACACAAATCAGGGTGGAAAAGACAAGAAAATCATCTTATAAACTTTACATAACGTTTTATTAGTTTATCTGAAGTTGTTTGTATCAGTTTAATAAAATATGAACAAAACTGAACCTCTTTGCATAAATGCAAAGGACATCAAAAGGTTGGTTTAAAACCAGAAAAATATTTGTTCAGTCAGTAACAACTCACGATGAGCTGATGAGATGTTTGCAGAACATCTCAGCAGTAATTAGGCAGGAAGAGAAGAACTTCATGATTACTTGATTAGGACACGTTGCAGTTTCTGCAGATAAATAGGGAGTGGGATTGCAATTCATGTCAAGAAAGAACAAAACCAAAAGTTCTCTTTGTAACTTTTGTGTTTTATCAGCTGATCCCCTTGGACTTGGTGCATAAGCACAGACCACAGTCAGAACCCGTCCCCCCACACGTAGGCGGAGGGAGGCTACCCTCTCATTCACTGGTGTAAACCCCAACGTACAGGCACCAAGATGGGGGGCAACTAGCATGCCCACCCCTTGTTCTTCAACCTTCTTGTTCAGTGCATGCTTTGTTTTGTAGAGAATAGCAATGATTTTTGACATTTTTGTTTCCACATGGTTTATATGAGACTTCCAACTCAGCTTATCATCAAGTATCACTTCAAGAAATGTATTTTCGTACACAATCAATTAATCAATCAATCAATCAAATCAATCAAAGATACTTTATTAATCCCAGAGGGAACTTTCTATTTCAGTTCCATTGACCCTGATTTTAGATACATTCTTCATTTGTCTAGTGCCAAAAATAATCAAATTTGTTTTCTTTATATTTAACGATAACTTATTCATATCAAACCAGTCTTTTAATAAATTTAACTCCTTTTTCACTGTAGTCAGAATCTGTTCTAGATTTTTCCTGAGTAATACAAAGTGGTATCAACAGCAAACAACACACATTTTAACAGTTTGAAAACACTATATAAGTCATTTATATATATAATATAAATAATTTAGGGCCCAACACAGAGCCCTGAGGAACACCACAAGTTACCTTCAACTGCTTAGATTTTAAATTATTAATTTCGACTTTTTGACATCTGTCATTTAGATAACTTTTCATCCACTTGTATGCTATCCCACTTATGCCATATCTCTCTAGTTTGTCCATTAATATGGAATGATCAATTGTATCAAACACCTTTTTTAAATCTATAAAAACACAGATAGTATACTCCTTATTATCTATTCAAAAGATATCCCTTCTACAAGTTTCATCACTGCCATCAATGTGGACCTTTTCGCTCTAAAGATTATGCTTCTTAATATATTTATCAAGTCTATTAACAAATAACTTTTCTAAAATTTTTGAGAACTGTGGGAGTAGAGGTATTGGGTAAAATGACATCTGTAATGGGTAAAATGACATCTATCTCCGTTTTAATGGATTGGAATTGCTTTTGCTATCTTCATTTGTGAAGGAAACACACCAGTTTGAAAGGATAAATCAGAATCAGAAAAGCTTTATTTATCCCCGAGGGGCAATGAAAAAAATAACAGCAGAGCAGCATGACGTTGGACATACGAACATCGAATAAATAGGCACTAAGAAAAGTAATAAAGCGGCAAGAAGATGGATATAATCAGTAAAATATGCAAAAAACACTGAGTAAGTGAATAAAGTGACTAAAGTGTCAGCTTTATAAAAATTAAATATATGGAGAGTTCAAGGAGAGGGTTTATGAGGGGGGGGGGTGTATCTTATCTGCTGGAGTTAAAGAGCTGATTACAAAAAGTTACAAATATGTTTAAAAGGTTGCACTATATATTCTAATATACTTTTAACTAAACAGTCATTGGACTTTTTATTTTTAAATATTTTCTCAATGTTAATTATTTCTCTATGAGTTACAGCACCAATAAACATGGAGGTCACAAAGTGTAGTTCTTGTGTTTTGCCGGCAGAGAGCGCCAATTCCCTGTTCTTTCAAGGCAAGAAAACAGAATTTAAAAGAAGTGTTTCAACTAAGTAATTATTTTAACCTTTAACCTTTAAACTCCTCAACATTCTCCTCCTTAACATTAATATTCCTAAGAGGACAAAAAGAAAGATTAAGACTTTTTAAATAGCTTCATTAAGAATAAGAGGCATTAAGATAAGGATGCTAAATGTAAAAAAACAAAAAACAAACATGTAGTACCAGCTTTCAGACACTGGAGGGCAGCATCACCCCACCGTCTCTATTCTTTTAATGCAACAATTCATGGTGTTTGAAAGCATAAAGATTAAGTGTTTGTGATGTTTCTCAGAGTCCTTTTTCATGTCACGACGAGGAATCCGATAAAAACGAGTGCCTATCTCCAGCTGTCACTGGGCAAAGAGGCGGGGTACACCCTGGACAGGTTGCCAGTTCCTCACAGGGCAACACAATGACACACAGGACAAACAATCATGCACACAGACACTCACACTTAAAGACAATTTTAGAGAGACAAACCAACCTGACAGCATTTTTATGGACTGCGGGAGGAACCCGGAGCACCCGGAGAGAACCCGTGCATGCACAGGGAGAACTTGCAATCTCCTTACTCCAGGCTGGAATGTGTACCCAGGACCTCTTTGCTGCAAAGCAACAGCGCTAACTACCGCACCCTGGAAAATTAATTAAAAATAAAAATAAATAGATATAACAATGTTTCTGGTACTTTTAGTGTCCTTCTGTTGTGGAAATTATGTGCAAATGTTCAATGGAAACTCTGAAAAGCTTCCTGAACCTGCATTTTTCATTTTAGGTCTATCTTTGTTTGATTGATTGACACGTTTATTTGAACTTAAGGCAATGATTTTTACAAACAATCATATTGAACAAAAGGATATAATCAAATAGAAGAGAAAAAAGTCAGTCCGAAGGGAGTGAAGCTAATGCTTTTTCAATCCTAACACCTTGTCATAAACAAGCCTATCAAAATAAAACACGCTCATGTTTTATACAAATCCCAGAGCCATCATATGTTTAATACTTAGTTATAAATATGTTATTACTAATGAGAACATATATGAATCTTTCCTGCACTATAATAAATAATATTACAATGACAACTATCAAAGATCATAACATCAACAATAGATTAATCAGAAAAGGGTAGAATGCCTTCTTCGGGTCAGGGATGAGGTCCTGCCTCAAGTGGAGGAGTTTAAGTATCTCAGGGTTTTGTTTGCGAGTGAAGGAAAGCTGTAGAGTGAGAGCGATAGGTGGATTGGTGCTGCATCTGCAGTGATGCGGGCGTTGTACCGGTCTGTCGTGGTGAAGAGAGAGCTGAGTCAAAAGGCAAAGTTCTCGATTTACCGGTCGATCTACGTTCCTACCCTCACCTATGGTTGCAAGCTTTGGATAGTTAAGGTGGCTCGGGCATCTGATTAGGATGCCTCCTGGATGCTTCCCTGGAGAGGTTTTGCAGGCACGTCCAACCGGGAGAAGACCCTAAAGGAAGACCCAGGACACGCTGGAGGGACGATGTCTCTCGCTGGCCAGGGAACGCTGATTCCCCTGAAGAGCTGTCCCAAGTGGCTGGGGAGAGGAAAGTCTGCCTCCCTGCTTAAGCTGCTGCCACCGCGACCTGACCCCGGATACGCGGCCAAAAATGGATGAAACAACAACAAAAGGAGTCGATGGTTTAAAATAATTTCTGCTAACGTCATTCAGAGCCGCTGCAGAAGGTCCAATCAGCCTGAGGTAAGTTACGGTAAGTTGAGAAAAAGTAAAGCTTTTGCTGTTTGCTTGTTCAGCGTGAATTGAAATAGACGTGAAATATATAATAATAATATTAATAATAATAACAACAACAACACTAATAACAACAACAACAACAACAGCAATAATAATAATAGCAACAAAAACTGTCACAATAATAATAATAATAATAATAATAATAATAATAATAATAATATAGTATATATAACAGAGCTGTAAGGCAGAATAAACATTTTCTTTTACTTCTTATTTATTTTACCTCGTTGCGTGGGAGTGTCACGTTGTTACACATTGAGTAGGCGAGTTGGGATCTTGGTCACCTTAGCAACAGCGCCCTCAGGTGGTCGAGCCATGAACATGCCCACAGATGCTGCAGATAAACCTGCTCAGCATGCTGACTAAAACTATTATCCCAGACAGCAAACAGAAATAACAGATTTTTAGATGAGTAGCATTGGTTAAAAAAAGAAATAAACATGCAGACCAGAATAGTACAATTAGCCCCACTGTTCAAAAAGCTGCCATTCACCACAGACGCACCATCATCATCTCTTTAAGACCATTTCTTGTTTTGCTATTTTTTCCCTTGTTAAGTTCGTTTAATGCTTTGATGCAGGGACAGAAAGGCTCTGGGTTGAGCTGGCAGGCTAAGGGTTAAGTCCAAATATTCTTATCTTGTGGCTTGGCCCTGCTTAGTTCCCTTTTCATGGTGCAAACTAATTCTGCTTCTTACATGTTTTGCCTCCAATCTTCCTCTTTTCTTTTTCTCAAATGAGAGATTTTTTGAAAACTGTCACAATGTTTAGCCAAGGTCTGTTTGGTGGTAGGATAAGAGGAGCTATGGTGATACGCTGGTTTGAAACCATAACAGGAATTAGCGTCTGTGCTTTATCTTTATGACGATGTGTGAACTTGCAGAAAGCCTGTTTCAGCTGCTGTTAGAGGCACAGCCCAACCTTGACCCAAATCCTGCACAAACCTGCTTTTAGGAGTTTCACATTTCAGTGAGTAAACGAAAGAATTACAACGTTTTTGTTTTATGTTCATGCTCTCCAGAGGAATGTGATGTATGATGTCATCAACCTGCACCGTGTGCCTTTCACGTTGAGCTGATTCGAGGGGGGCTGGTGGCGGAGGAGCTAACAGCCCACAGCCGCTCCATGGCTGGAGGGTTGCCGGCTTGAGCCCCGTTGCAGTTGTTGTGTCCTCGGGCACCACACCTCACCCACCTGCCTCACCACTGTGTAAGTCACTTTGGAAGAAAACATCTGTCAAACACAAAAACACAAATAAATGATGGATTCTTGGATTGATTCAGTTTGATTTGAGAATTCGCCACATCTGAAATGGAAAAACTTCATTTTTCTTTAATTAACGCAAAAGTTTCCTTTGAAATCACAAGATATCTGAACTCATCTGATCTTTTAGGGTAAAACACGGTCTGATCGTGCTTGTCTGACGGCGAGACTCATCTGATAGACGTGGCGGTTCTTTTAAGATGTATGAAAACAGACTTTTGCGTTTGTTCTTCTCATTTCCGAGCATCCTGGCAGGGCCACGTCTTCAAGAGGAAAAAAAAAAGACATTTCTACTCCTAACTGGGTTAGAAAAAGAACAAAATGCCAACGGGAAAACTCACATTCCCGAGCTGAAGGTAAAAAAAATCCCACAGACACGAGTAAACTCAGTCCTACCTTCTAATATGGAGAAAGTACGCTACGGCAGCCAGAACCAGGACCAGCAGAACGGAACCAATGATGACGGTCTCAGCTGACAACACACGAGTCTCCACCCGCTCCACCGGAAATTTTTTCTGGGAAAGCCAAATGCCAAAGATGCCATATGGAATGAATTTAGATTATGAGGTAAAATGCTAAATATTTACTAAATGTTGATTAGCATGAGGCCTCTTAGGAGAGCCTGCATGTTCTGAATCCATCCATCCATGCATCCATCTATCCATCCATCCATCCATCCATGCATCCATCCATCCATCCATCCATCCATCCATGCATCCATCCATCCATCCATCCATGCATCCATCCATCCATCCATCCATCCATCCATCCATTGTCTGAACCTGCTTGTCCACGTAGGGTCGTAGGGGGGCTGGTGCCTATCTCCAGCGGTCACTCTGGACAGAGAGCCAGTCCATCGCAGGGCAACACAGAGACACACAGGACAAACAATCATGCACACACACACACACACACACACACACACACACACACACACACACACACACACACACACACGCACACACTCACACCTAAGGACAATTTAGACAGACCAATTAACCTAACCGTCATGTTTTTGGACCGTGGGAGGAAGCCGGAGTACCCGTACCAGTACTTTGGTAGTCATTTAATTTAACACGCACAGATTAAAAATAATCTGACTGACTCATCCCGATCTGTTTCCGTTTGACATGAAACTGCCCCGGTGCATCCTAAACTACTCACTTTTTTATCCTTTTGTGCTGCCATGTGGGTCTGCTGCCTGTATAAAAACTCCAAATATTCAAATTCAATTCAAGTTCAAAGATACTTTATTAATCCCAGAAGGAAATTAGAGTTTCAGTACACACATTTCTGAGATCAGACATACATAGGCAAAGACACATGACAAGAATTGGTGACTGTGGTCATTCGCAACCCTGAGTCGCGCTACCTTAATAAAGATCAGAGGGGTTACATGTGGACTGGTTCAGGTGGAGATAAAAAAGGCACTATGTGTTTGGTTTCAGAAATGTTCTGCCTAAAACAAGTTGTTAAAAATTTTGCTCACAAACACCTCTGACCTAGAGGAGCAGCAGCTCTACTCTGAGCTCCTCCAAGATATCTGAGCTTCTCAGCTTATAGCAGCCTGAGTAGGGGAGGGGTGGGTGTGGCAAACTCTAGCTGCTCTTCATAAAGAGACAGAGTCCTGAAACGGCTCATTGTGGAAGGTACTGAAAATGTCAAGAATAAAACAGAAGAGGTTGCTTCATGTGAGAGGGATTTAATGCAAAAAACACGGGAGTTTTCCTCTCCACTGTCGCTGCATGCTTGCTTAGTATGAGGATTGCTGTATAGTCACTGACACTAGTCAGTGACTTGATGCAATTTGCTGGGTTCCTTATATAGGAAACATTATTTCTGATTGGCTTAATGAACTGTGAATTGGAATGTTTATTATGTGAAGTGCCTTGAGACGACTCTTGTCGTGATTTGGCGCTATATAAATAAACTTGAATTGAATTGAATTATTGCAAATATAAAAAGTCTAATATAAAAACAGATAGCACTCAACTTAAAACACCTGGCAGGGGTCTATTTTGCCTCGACCCCCAAAATGCTTAGATACGTTTCTGGGCATGGGACGCAAAAAAATCGGAGTGTGCGACGCGCCGCCCGGCTGCGCCGGTGAGGAGCGCTGCGGCGCGAGCGCGTCCACACGTCATGCTCAAATACAGACATAACTTACCAGAGAGAAAATGAACGGACACGAACGACTGTGTGTTAATTATATATTTTTGGTGACGCCATTTAGAAACATAGAAAATGTTACTGTGGCCGTGTGCAGAACGCAGCTCATGAATCAGCAGCGGTCTGCCTGCAGCTCTCCGCATCTCTGCCCAAAAGAACCACGCTGAGTCCATATAAATAATATAATAAAGGTAGAAACTGGATCTCTTTTGTGCTCCGTCTGGGTGTGTAAGTTAAGGGCTTCAGGGGAGCCTGACAACCTTTAAGGAGAACCAAGTTGCTCTCCTGTAATTTGAACCCAGTATCCGAGTCCGGATCGGGGTTTGGATCGGGAAGGAAAGCCCGAGTCCCGATCCAGTCTGAAATCATGTGATCGGGGCAGATTTCCGATCATGTGATCGGATCGGGTCATCCCTACTGTTGTAGTGTACAGTTGCTAAACATAACTACCACTGCATACCTGCTAAAACCATCTTTTTTAACATGCCTGCACACAGGATTGTGATGGAGACACTAAATATAACTAAACTAACACAACAGGACCTGGTTTTAACTTTTAGAGAACAAGTCCAAATTTGCTGCAAGTATCTTAATTATGTTTCACTTTTATGTTTTCATTTCAGCAAATAATGAAGCCACTGAGCCTGCTTAGTTCTCTTTTCATGGTGGAAACTGATCATTCTTCTCCCATGCTTTACCTCCATTCTTCCTCTTTTTTTTGGTTTATCAGATGAGGACCTTTGTGCAGCACCTGGTCTCAGAACTACGTGACATATACTCACGTTCTGTAATCAAACATTTCATGCTTGTGGACACACATACCTCTTTTTTTCGTGCATCTCAACACGCATTTTGGCTTCATTGACATGCACGGGTCTACCAAACAGGTAAGACGGTGATCAGTCACTGAAATAATGACACGCTTTGACAGAAGCTCGATTTTTGGATCAAATTTCAATTTAAAATAAAATGAAGCAACATTTTACACATTCCTTAGATGTATTATTGATGCTTTTTAACAATGATCTGCAGCTAAAACCCACTCATTATAATCCTGTTGACACTCAAGTATGAGCGGGTGAAGCAGGTGTGCACAGCTGTGTAAGCATCAGAAGGAGCTGAACTACAAACAGATAGTCTCATTACTCTGATAGAGGACTTTTACACTGGAGTATGTGACATCATCAGCGTGCACCGTGGGTTTGTGCTTCTCATCAGAAAAAGTGGGATCTCTGGACTGTTGTTTCGGCTTGACGGGAGCGTACACCACTTCCTGTGAGCGAGGAAACATCCCATTAAGTCTTTTGTTAACTCTCTGAATGAACTCTGACCTCACCTGATCCTTCACGATAAAAGACGGCCTGAGTATGCTTGACTGATCGCGGGATGTGTCTGAAAGTAACAAGTTTTGTTTCAGAAAACCGCTAAACGCATCTGGATGTTTGAAAGCAGTGTGAAAGCTGACTTGTGTGTTTGTTCTGACCTACGAGGACTTGGAGCCTCCTGGCCGAGCGACTTCTTCAGGAGGAAAGAAAAAAGTTATGATTACATTTGTAACCGGCGTTAAACTGGGAAGGATGTAAACAATTAAAAAGACAACCAGTGGGGCAGATCTGGTTATGTGGTATTTGTTGTTATAAAGGGAAAATATCTAATGAATGTTTGTTAAATAATTGTCATCACGGTCCTACCTTCTAATGAGGACAAAGTACGCTACGGCTGCCAGAATCAGGACCAGCACAACGGAACCGGTGACGATCGCTGAAACGGTCTCAGCTGACAGCGCGCGAGTCTCCACCCACTCCACCGGAGTTTCCTCTGGGAAAGCCAAATGCCAAAGGTGCCATAAATACTAAATAATTACTAAATGTTGTTTAGCATGAGGCCTCTTAGGAGAGCCTGCACGTTCTGAATTCTAAAGTTTTATTTATTCATGCAGCTGATATAATTTAACAGTAATTAACTTACTCACCTTCAACAGTAAGTGCGATGGTTGCTTCAAATTTTCCACCAGGGAAGATAGTGACCTCACAGGCGTAGGCCCCATGGTCCGTTTGACTCACATTATTAATTACTAGTGAATACTTTGAAATTTTCACTCTCCCTTTTAGAGGAGATTCACGGATAGATATTCCATGATCAGGGGAGTAAACAAGGATAATAGTTTTATTTTTTCCTGCCTGTTGGAAATTCCATTGAACCAGAGAGAGGCTGGCCAGATTTTGTCCTTGGATTAACTCGCACGGCAAGATGACATCATGGCCGAGGTATCCCGTCACTTCAGACTGGAACTCAAGTTTTTGTGCTTGAAGAACTAGAAAACATGAATAATATTGGATCAGGGCCATGAGAAAGAAAACGAATCTGACATTCACTGTTCAGCTGATGTTTTGATTTGAGTTAATCCCGTGCAGCATGCAAAAAAAAAAACGTGCAGCATGCAAAAAAAAAAACGTGCAGCATGCAAAAAAACGTGCAGCATGCAAAAAAAAAACGTGCAGCATGCAAAAAAAAAAACGTGCAGCATGCAAAAAAAAAAACGTGCAGCATGCAGAATTTCAATAATTCTTCTTCTTCTGGCACTTAAGGAGTACAGACGCTTCCCTCGTTCCCTCCCTTATCTTTTTTTCCCAAGGCTCTTTGTCCTGTCTGCCCACAGAGCGCTTCTCTGCATTTCTTCTGAAAAACTCTATTTTTACTAACCATGGATTTGATAAACTGGTCATTCAATGCGATCGACAAGATTTTTTCAACAATGAGAACGGAGCAGGGGGCTCCCTCATGTCCACAGGGGACACACCCGGTGGGATGTATTTTGGATTCCTGGAAGGAGTGGAAGATCATATGCCTCTCCCAGATGTCCATTGAGGACATCGAAGACGTGTGGATATTTGGTCTGATGATCACTGGATTTCTCCTGATTGGAGTGGGAGGATATCTGGTCTTCTGGAAATTTGAGAATACGGGAGCGATTGGAGGGTGACCCACACCCACGGAAAGAACCGTCCGTGTGGAGACTTCTCAGACTGGGACGTTACTCGAGGTGAATCATAAGCTGGACAATGTTCTAGCTGCGATACCAGTATTAGTGCGCAAAATGGATGTCATCTCGGAGAGAGTCACCGGACGGTATGGACAGGTTTAAAAACCCAAAATTGGCTTCACTGAAGGACTGGAAATGATCAGTTTAAAGACTGAAGGCAGAGAGGAAAATTATCTCTGCCTGACGCAAACAAAGTCTTGTTATCTGAATCTGACGCCCTGGTAGCCTTGAGCTGCAAGCAACTAAAACCCCCACGAAGGAATGCAGACAGATGCTGTGACCCCCACCCCCACCCCCCGCCTTCGGATTGGTGGACTTCAGCCTGGTGAGGTCATCAACTGAAGGAGTCAATGTGGTCTTCGCTTCTCCCAAGATCTCCCTCCCACCTGTGACTGTACAGTAGATGAGCGCTTTAGATGGCTGCTCTCGCTGGGCGAAACAGGATCCCAGTCCCCCCCGCCTTCCTACTGGAGTCTCATGTTGTGAACTGTTGACGTTCGTGCTTATATGCTTGAGGTTTTTTTTTTTTTTTGCATAGCAAAGCCACGCCCTGTCGGGAGTAACTCTGGAATGCCTTTTTTTCCCTCCCCCAATTTATCCTCATGTAATCCCCTTTTCATCTAAATGAAATGAGCGCCGTTCATGGCTGCTCTCGTGGTCTGCCTGTATCTGTTTTGTCTACATGTGTGTGTGTGTAACCTTGGTCAGGCTGTGCTGCGGAGTCAAATTCCTATGCTTCGGGTCGCTGGAGCACTGGCAGTAAAGCTTTCTGATTTCTGATTCTGATTCTGCAGCATATTTATTGCAGCTTAGATGAAAAGTTCAGATCCTTTAAGGTTGGTTCTTGTGGAAATGTTATGAACAAATGGACCATTAATCTGTTCATTTAGTTTGAATAACAAGATTAGTGAAACAGAGATTAAGAGATGAGTTTATTGTTTGAGAGTGAGTATGTAGTCAACTTAATACTGTTTTTATGGCTTCAATGGTGTTTTCACCTCTGTCAGTGCGCCCCAGGGCAGCTGTGGCTACATAGTAGCTCATCACCATCAGTGTGTGAATGTGTGTGTGAATGGATGAATGATACACTGTAGTGTAAAGCGCTTTGGGGTCCTTACTCTGAGAGGCGCTATACAAGTGCGGATCATTTATCATTTTATTAGCCTTTAGCTGTCTATAGAAGGTTATTAGGTGGATTTAGTAGAACATTTCATTAAGGCTTTAATGTTTCTGCCAGAATAATCACATGTGATGACCGTCAGAAGTTCCACACCAACATGAATTTCCATAACGATTGTTCATAAACTTTCCACTGAACTCCAGGTTAAATGGCTGAAACACAATTCTAAACTGTGCTGTTTCCATGTGTGGGTGAACTTTTATGTAAATTCATCTTTTTTAAAAACGCAGACCTACCAAAGTTTACAAAAGGTCGTCTTACCTGGTAAAACTGTGACAGAAATCAGCTTCAGGAACAAATGAAATGATCTGGTCCAAGTTTTCATCGCAGAGATCTAGAAAGAGATGAAACCCAGAATATAAATCCTTCCTTGATAATAAGCCTCTGATTCGGTTGGACATTTTGAATCCGCTGTGAAGAAATTTACCAATTCAGACGATTTTCAGAGTGAAAACAGACGAAAGGTGAGGGATTTACGGCGCCACAGTGAAAAGAAGAATCAGCAAAGAGGAACGAAAACTAAAATGATCAGTTTAAAACTGTGAATCCGCTCCCTCAGACTGATTCAGCTAAAAATAGCATCCTGGACCTGCAGGTTGTTCTTCCTGCTGGTTGGAGAATGAATCAACTTACCCTAAAATGTAGAAAACGACGCACGACTGGAGGACTTTGCACACCTCTTCAACAAGATTCAATCTGAAATCATGATAATAAAAAAAACTTCTCTGATAGTAAAAAGTTTCATCCTGATTATCAAATCTTAGCAACAGCATCCTCTTGTGGACAAACTCTAACAAAGTCTGATGAATTGCTTACTATTCTCATAACCTTAAAACACAGAGTCTTCTACGGTTTATCAGGTGTAACCCTAACCCAACTATAATGAATATTTATATTTCCTGTAAGCACATGTAAATCTAAACCTTCCATTAGATTTTGACCAAACAAAGACTCAGACATGGAGTTCCCTCAACGAGAACTTATTAACAGTTCCAACCTGAGTAGCTTTTGTTTCCGTTTTTACATGAAGGAAGTTTGGTAAAGTGCCGACAGATTAAAACCAAACTTCTCCTTCTGTTCCGCAAAAGCTTTGAACTGGTGGAGAGATTGAAACAAAAACATGTGGAGAGGAACAAAATAAAATCAAATACTTGAATTCTTTATAAAGGGGAGAAGCACCAATCACTTATTTTAATTTTGCTGAATAGCCAGAGAATATTCATGAGTGGTTAACGCTCTCAGGTGGTCTCTGCGGTTCTCTGTAGGTCTGTGGTGGTGGGTGAGAATTGTTTTCATCCTCCGGCCTGAAGGTAGCTCCTTACAGGTAATTTATTTCATAGAAAAATAATTTCAATAGATTCCCTCTGTTTACTTTAAAGGTACAATAAGTAAAAAAAATTACAGTGAAAGAATCCCAAAACATTCTGATGTTGGGAGGAAGTGTGCCCTTCTCTCTCTCTCTCTCTCTCTCTCTCTCTCTCTCTCTCTCTCTCTCTCTCTCTCTCTCTCCCTCTCTCTCTCTCAGGTCATGGGTCAGGTTGTGCATAAGTTGGTGGTTTCTAATCAAACATATGAGATTTTATATCACTATTTACAGTTTCAATAATTCAATAAAATTCAAGTTTATTTATATAGCGCCAAATCATGACAAGCGTCGTCTCAAGCTAGTCCACATGATAAAACACTCCAATACAGGTCAATTCATTAAGCCAATCAGAAAAAAAAGTTTCCTATATAAGGAACCCAGCAAATTGTATTGAGTCACTGACGAGTGTCAGTGACTTTACAGCAATCCTCATACTAAGCAAGCATGCAGCGACAGTGGAGAGGAAAACTCCCTTTTAACAGGAAGAAACCTCCAGAGGATCCTGGCTCAGTATAAGCAGCCATCCTCCACGACTCACTGGGGATCAAGAAGACAGAGCAGACACACACACACACACACACACACACACACACACACACACACACACACACACACACACACACACACACACACACACACACACACACACACACACACACACACCAGTGTTTCTATGGTTACATTGTGATGTCTTAGTAAACATTCTATTTGGTGAGAGATAAACTTTATTGTATTCAATTAAACGGGTAAACTAGTAATAGCACAGTAGTAGCAGGAGAGGGAGAATGATTAAATGGTTAGCAACAGTGTTCAAGACGATGGCCCCCTCCATGAGGCCACTACAGCTCAGCTGAACATCATTGTAGCTTCTTCTGGGGAGAAAAACACTTAGAGAAAAAATAAAGTTAACAGCTGAAATTGCAGAAAATAATACAGTTAAAGAGCAGATTGTAGAAGAAAGTAGTAGAGTGTGGAAAGTTGTCAGTGTGTCCTCCAGCAGTCTAAGCCTATAGCAGCATAACTACAGAGATAACTCTGGATAACCTAGCCTTTAAGATGGAGGCGTGTTGGAGTCAGGGCAAGGGAGAGCCGTCTTTACCGACTGTACACTCCACCTCCCTCTACTCCCTCACTTGTCCAGAACTAGGCTAACATCAGATTTTAACCATAGGCCCTATCAGATAAAAATGTGTTAAGCCTAGTCTTAAAAGTAGACAAGGTGTCTGCCTCACGGACTAAGGCTGGGAGCTGGTTCCACAGGAGAGGAGCCTGATAACTAAAAGATCTGCCTCCCATCCTATTTTTAGATATTCTGGGAACCACCAGTAGACCTGCAGTCTGAGAGCAAAGTGCTCGGTTAGGAACATATGGAACAATCAGATCATTTATGTATGATGGAGATTGATTGTTAAGAGCTTTATATGTGAGAAGAAGGATCTTAAAATCTATTCTGAATTTAACAGGCAGCCAATGTAGGGAAGCTAAGACAGGAGAGATATGATCTCTCTCAAATTCTCATCAGAACTCTAGCAAGCTGAAGACTTTTAACTACATTCTGTGGACTTCCTGAGAGCAATGAATTACAGTAATCCAGTCTTGATGTAATAAATGCATGAACTAGTTTTTAAGCATCACTCCTGGAAAGGATGCTTCTAATCTTAGCAATATTCCGAAGGTGGAAAAAGGAAATCCTACAAACCTGATTAACCTAGGATTTGAATGACATGTCCTGGTCAAAGATAACACCAAGGTTCCTTCCTTTGTTCTAGGAGACTAATTTAATGCCATTCAGGTCAGGTGATTGACTAAGCAATTTCCTTTTCTGAGTTTCAGGTCCAAAGATGAGAACTTCCGTCTTGTCTTGATTTAAAAGCAAAAAGTTTAGAGTCATCCAATTTTTTATGTCTTCAAGACAAGCCTGTAATCTACCCAACCGATTTGGTTCATCAGGGTTAATGGATAGATATAACTGAGTATCGTCAGCATAACAGTGGAAGTTTATCCCATGCTGTCTAATGATTTGACCAATTGGGAGCATATATATAGTAAAAAGAAATGGTCCAAGCACTGAACCCTGGAGTATGAAGAAGATTTGTCATGTACGTTTGCAAAATGAAATCTGTCAGACAGGTAGGATTTTAACCAGCCTAGCGCTGTTCCTTTGAGCCCTACAACGTGTTCAAGCCTTTCTACAAGAACATTGTGATCAACTGTGTCAAAAGCAGCATTGAGATCTAACAAGACTAGAACGGACAAGATTCTTATCTGACGCCATGAGAATATCATTTGTAACTCTCACTAATGCAGTTTCAGTGCTGTGATACTCTCTAAAACCAGACTGAAATTCCTCAAATAGAGCATTAGTGTTTAAATTCTCACATACTTGGATGGCCACTATTTTCTCCAGGACTTTGGATAAAAATAGAAGGTTAGATATTGATCTATAATTAATTGGGTCATCTGGATCCAGAGAAGGCTTCTTAAGTAAAGTTTTGATTACAGCAACCTTAAAATCCTGTGGTACGTATCCATTTACTAAGGATAGATTGATTATATCTAGAATGGGGGCAGTAACCAAAGGAAATGCATCTTTAAATAATTTGGTTGGCATTGGATCTAAAATGCAAGTGGAAGGTTTAGATGAAGCTAATATTTTTGATAACTCTGAAAGCTCACCTGGATCAAAAAAGTTCAAACACAGATGAGGTTCTACAGTCACCTCTGATGCTGCCTCACTTACTGAGGAAGAAGAAATCGCAGTAGGGAGGATGCTAAAGATTTTGTTTCTAATAGAATTAATTTTACTTGTGAAAAATCCCATAAAGTTGTTGCTGCTGAGGACTAAGGGAATAGATGGTTCAGAGCTATGATTCTGTGTAAGTTTGGCAACTGTACTGAAAAGAAATTTTGGATTATTCTTATTCTCTTCAGTTAGTAATGAAAAATAAGCAGTTCTAGCTTGTTGAAGCTTATTTTTATAAAGCACAAGACTATTTTTCCAGGATAAGTTAGGAAATACCCTCCTGGTATGTAGAGCGCCATGTTCTCTCCAATTTTCTAGAGTTTTGTTTTAAAGTTTGTAAATGAGAATTAAACCAGGGAGCCAACTTCCTGTCCCTAATTACCTTCTTTTTTAAAGGGGCAACATCATCTAATGCCACACGTAAAGAGGAATTAACATTATGAACTAAAGCATCAATTTGTGAAGAACTAGAAATGAAAATATTGCCCTCTGCTACGTTCCTCTGAGATGCTGAAGATATTAAAGATGGAACAGTTGATTTAAAAGATGCAACTGCGTTGTCAGATAGAGATCGACAATGGTGAAATTTACTTTCATGTCTCGAGAACTCAGTTTTAAAAAACTCAAAGGTTATCAAAAAGTGGTCCGAGAGGACTGGATTACGTGGAAAAATCGTCATTTCCTCACACTCTATGCCAAAAGTCAGCACAAGGTCTAATGTATGATGGCAGGAGTGGGTGGAGCTTTGTATTCTTTGGGTAAAGCCAATTGAGTCTAAGATATTACTAAAGGCTACATTGAGGCTATCATCTTCAATGTCCACATGAATGTTAAAATCCCCCACTGTAATGACCTTATCAGTATTTAGCACCAAATCAGATAAAAAATCAGAGATCTGATCCAAAAACTCAGAGTAAGGGCCTGGTGGACGATAAAAAACTACAAACAAGAGTGGTTTTACAGTTTTGCAATCTGGATTAGGAAAACTAAGAATAAGATGTTCAAAAGAACTGTAACTATTAATTGGTAAGTGACTGATTAATAAGTCCAAATGAAAAATGGTTGCTACTCCTCCTCCTCGCCCTGTACTTCGAGCAATATGATGATTTAAATAATTTGAAGGAGTCGACTCATTTAAGCTAACATAGTCCTCTTGCTGCAGCCAGGATTCTGTGAGAGAGAGCAAAGAAATCTGATTATAACAAATCAAGTCATTAACTAACAAAGTCTTAGAAAAAAATAGATCTAATGTTCAACAACCCACATTTAATTTTTCTAGTTTTCTGCTCAGTTGAATTTGTTCTAATATTTATGAGATTTCCATGATTTGCTTTATTAAGCCTGATATTTAATCTGTGTGATTTTGGCTGTGGGCAAGACACTGTCTCTATGGGGTAGTGGGTGGGTAACAGTACAGAAGCTGCAGAGGGTTGGGTTAAACTACGACTCTGCTTCCTGGTCTGGACCCTGGGTTGTCATGGAGGACTAATAAAACTGGCCATGTTCCTAGAACGAAGAGCTGCTCCATCCAAAGAGGGATGGATGCCGTCTCTCCGCATCAGACCAGGTTTTCCCCAAAATGTTTTCCAATTATCAATGTAGCCCACGTTGTTTTCAGGACACCACCTAGACAGCCAGCGGTTGGACAGCATGCGGCTAAACATGTCGTCACTGGTCCAATCAGGCAGGGGGCCAAAGAAAATTACGGAGTCTGACATTGTTTTGGCAAACTTACACACCGAAGCAACATTAATTTTAGTGACCTCCGACTGGCGTAACCAGGTGTCTTTACCGCCAGCGTGAATAACAATCTTACTGTATTTACGCTTATCCTTAGCCAGCGGGTTCTGCTGGAGGACTGCTTCGGGGTGGTTCTGAGCTAGTTAGCCCCGCGCTAGCTAAGTAGCTACGGCTATCTACAGGCTTTTCAACAGCAAGGAGCCGGGCCTTCAATTCCAACACCCTCGCCTCCAAAGCTACAAAAATGCTACATTTATTACACGTACCATTATCACTAAAGGAGGCAGAGGAGTAACTAAACATCTGACACAGAGAGCAAGAGATAGGAGACGGAGAAGCAGAGACAGAAGTAGCCATAGCCGTGCTGAGGCTAAGCTAACTGGACGAGCAACTCGTTCAACACCAAATAAACTGCGTGCAAACTCAAATGGTTCCCTAAAAGCTAGGTGGAACAACAGAAAAAGTGTGTTTTAGCGTGCTTATGTGCTTATACCTCAGAGATGTCCTAGTACAGAGAAATTTAATTCATTTTAGCGAGCCATAAGCACCGAACGGCTACACATAGTGCAACACTGAAAACAGGAGACGCCTTACCGCAGATACTGCCACCTACAGGGCGTGGTTCAGCTCATGAAGCTGTATGCCCACATGTCAACATGACACACACAAACGCATTTATGCTGACAAATTCTCCTTTCAAAAAGGTACACATTTCTGTCTTCAACAGAAAACAATGAATTCACTTTATTTAACAAGTAACGTAAAAAATAAAATCTTAAAAAACATTAAACCAAAAACACTAAAATAACCATTAACTATTGTAACAGCAGATTTTTTACTTTTAAAATATTTTTTTAAAGGTAACCAAGCAGTTTTCGGCTTGCTTTTAGCACCCCCTAGTGTCCGTTTGTAGAACAAAAACCAAACCCATCCCCTGCATTAATCTTTTTAACACCTTAATCTAACAGCTGAAATGTTTCCCCAGCCTTTCTTAGTGTCTACAGGAGTCATTTGTCACTAAATTAAATAAATTAGCTGTGTTCATGATTTAAATCATGCAGGAAACGTGCTGGAAGCAGACTGCAGCGCCAGGTGTGTCAGCTCAAAAGGTCCGCCACTCTGAAGTTACAAGTGAAATTTTCTTGCCACAGAGGGCGACAGGGTCTGGGTGACCTTTCATTAACCTCGTAAAGGGTAATTTTAGCACATACTGGCTTAAGAAAATTATTTAAAAATACAAAAAACAGTAACATTGGTGTTCATGCATCCACCCTCGGCCGCTTGCAGAAAGTCCAAAATGCTGCAGTAAGGCCAGGCCGACGCCGTCATATCACACCTGTTCTAGCTGACCTACACTGGCTCCCTGTGCACTACTGGCTGCAGTTAAAAATGTTAATGTTTGCTTTTAAAACTGCACGATCCTCTACATGACAGAGCTGCTCTCACCATACCTCCCCCCAGGTCTCCAAGGTCTGCTGGTCAGCTACTCCTTTGTGTACCTAAAATGAGCTATAAAGCTCGGGGGCAACATGCTTTCATTTACGCTGCAACAGAATTGTGGAATGCACGCCCACTGTCCGTGCAGCAGCCTCTTCCACTGGTGCAGCTCAAATCTAGCCTAAAGACCTTCTTCCCTCTCGCTTTTGGCCGATGAGTGTGTTCTTGTGCTGCATTTGAGTTATTTTATGATCTTAGAGTCTTATTTTTGACATTATCTGCAGTCTCTGTATGAAGGTGAATTAGAATTCCTGTGTTTTTATGTGTTTACCTCGTGCAGCACTTTGGTCAGCTGATGTGCTTTTATAAATACGGTTATGGTATGGTATGGAAAAAGTTGCAAAGCATCTTTTATTTACTTACTTGTCATCAGTCATTTTACTTGCTTGCTAGCAACATTCTCTGTGTAAGAGGGCAGGAGGGAGGGGTCAAATTTGTGAGTTTCCCAGCAACAACAGGAGATTTGTCAGGCAGTCGATGCAACGTTTTAATTAATGAATGCCACAGTAGCAGGAAATGGACTCATGAACAGGACTTGGTTTTTATTATCCTCTCTAGTGATGTATCTTAGAGTTTGCACTTTTATATCTCTTTGGAGATTCTGACTCTGAGTGAAGGGTCAACAGCAGACGTTTTATTTTCAAGAGCAGTAGCACCATTTGACATGTGGGGCAAAAGTATACAACACAGTATAAAACTTCTCTTTCATGTCTCTATATTACTTTTGCATCACACATCCCTTTAAATATGGAGCTGTTCCAAATTTATAGGACGATCTTTACTGTTTATTTCAAATTTCTGTTGAACGCAGCATCATCCTGTTTGCACGCTGGATTAATCACTGATTGATTGATTGATTGATTGATTGATTGATTGATTGGTTGGGTCTGAGACGTTCAGGATGAGTCAGGTTCTAAATTCTAAAGCATTCAAATTGGAATAAACTTTTGAAATAATCTTTTATCTGTATGTTTGATGCATAGGCCGATTGTTTTTAATGAAATTTAATGAAGGAGCAATGTAATGCATGCACAGCTTGAGGTTATTTTCCTAAAGAAGGAAACAGGTGTCGAGCCTTCAGAACTGATCATACTTGAACAATAACAGGCAAAATATAGTTCCTCAGTGAACTTGGTCTTTAAACAAGATGATTTATAATCTGCCGGAGGTGGGCGACGGTGGAACAGGAGTTAAGTGCTCGCCCCGTAATCGGAAGGTTGCAGGCTTGAGCCCCGCTCAGTCTGTCGCTGTCGTTGTGTCCTTGGGCAAGACACTTAACCCACGTTGCCTGCTGGTGGTGGTCGGAGGGACCGGTGGCGCCTGTGCTCGGCAGCCTCGCCTCTGTCAGTGCGCCCCAGGGCAGCTGTGGCTACATCGTAGCTCATCCCCACCAGTGTGTGAATGTGTGAATGACTGGTTGTGTTGTAAAGCGCCTTGGGGGGGTTCCAGGACTCTAGAAGGCGCTATATCAAATACAGGCCATTTACCATTTAGTACTAGAACTGTGATAAAACCAAGCCCCCACAATGCGAATCAAAAATTGAGGCCAACCCGGAAGTACCAAAAACTGCAGTTCCACCCTCATCCACTAGGGGCTGGTGTCAGAAACGAGCAAATCCTCATTGACTCCCATGTTAAAAATACCAATTGCACAGCAGAAATAAACTTGTTTACAGCCTGGTACCAAAACATGTTTTTCGTTTAAATGATCTAGTTTACACTCATGACAACTTTGAGGGGGGTGAATTTTTTTCTCACTCTTCTGTTTAAGTGTATTAAAAGCCTAAAATTCTGTATAATTAATGAGCATCAGACCCACGTGACCACAGAGCTAGCTCCGTGGAAAGGCCTCAGTAGAGCCTCGGTCTGGCCTGGAAACTGCTCCGGGATTTTGAGTCTCTGTGTTTGTGTATTCTTTTTTGGATATTTTTTGTGCAATTGTTGGACAAAATGACTTGCTGTGGCATTAATTGCACTAATAGAGCGTCCAAGGAGTCTCCACTTCATTTTTTTCGGTAAGTAAAATTATATTTATGTATTTTAGGTCACTGCCGAGCTGAGCTTAGATTTTAACATGTACTGTTTAACCATGAAATTTAAATGTAATAGGGTAAACCCCAGTGCATTTAACATAATGCTGCACTTTAGAAAATGGGTTGAAATATAACATGTTGGTGGAGCTGGGTTCCGACTATCGGCATGTGGAGCTCTCGAGAGACCAATGTTTTCCACCCGGTTCTCCTCAGCAGCAGCTCTGCGCATCTCAGATCGCAGCGGCGCTTGTCTGCTACGCGGGCTGCCGGCTTGTGGAGCTCTCGGAGACCTCTGTGTTCCACCCGGTTTTACCCAGCGGTCAGCCCGGCGTATCTCTGACTCAGAAGCTCTGGTGTTGTGCACAGTTAACTCCGGTTGTAGCTAGGTTGCTACCTCCGTTAGCTTAGCTCCCACCTCCGCATTAGCTTTGGGTTAGCTTCAGGTTAGCTTGTAGCTATTTCGACCGGGTGTCGTCAGTTGATCCAGCCTTACAGCCACACCCTCAGCTCCACCTCTCTTCCCTTTTGTGGAATTGTCTGGGCTTGACGGAACCTGTGACACGGTCAAAATGGCGGTGGTGGCCACCTCCCATTTAGCCTCAAAAATGTGTTATTGAAGCCTATGGAAATGAATTGTCCAGTATATATGTCGATGGATAAAACACAAACAGACCAGCAGAAAAAACAGAACGCAGGGTTTAATTTTTTTATTTTAAACATTTTTAAAGTAGCACAGTTCACCCAGAAAAGTCAGTTATCAGCAGGCAGTACAATAAACAGCTGTTCTACAACCTTATGGAGACTGAAACTAATGCATTCTAAACAAAATCATCTTCAAACCTTTCTGAGTCACTTTGGTTGTTTTAATTTTGACAAACAAGTTTGGAGCAAAACATCAAACGTTCACCGAGTCCAGAGATGTTGTGGTTTTAATGATCAGGATGAAATCCTGAGTGAGGAAGTGATGCAGCAGGGAGGAAGTGTCTGAACTTTGTGACGCCCAGAAGGGAAGTTTAGGTGGCGTTCAGATACAGAAAGTCCTCTTAGAGGTTAGAAACGGACAGAAACAAGGAAATAATGTAACCAAAACAGTGTGAATTAATCACTTTATAAGATTTTTATCTATCTGGGAGGAATGCAATAATTTTGTCTCCAGACCACACTGACCTCTAGTTTCCTGGAAACATGTTTGTTGTTGTTGTAACGCCCAGCAATGGTCAGTTCAGAGAAGAAGGAAACATTTATGGAGGCAAATTATGATAAATATGAGACGATAAAAGCAATTTCTAAATTGCAAAGCGCCTATGTTCTGTTTTTGGTGTGAGAGTTTCTGCTTGACTCGGTTTTAATGCTGATCAAAACGTTTCACTGCTCATCGACACGTCTTTAGAGGTTTTCTGTTGTGAAGTAAACAAACCGGAGCAGGAAATCTGGTGGAAAAAAAAACAAAACAGAGTCAACATGTATAAAAGTGTAGGTTTTTATATTTGGTAATCAACGTCGGACACTATGGAGGAGGATTAGGGTCACTGAAAAGAAAAATAAAAGAAAAGGAGAAGTCAGAATCCTCTTTTATTTCATTATTTTTCTTTGCAGTGGCCCTAATCCTCTTCCGTAGGTCTCACCTGCTGTTTTACATGAACCTTCTCAGATTAAATCCGCTGATGAGCAATAGTGAAAACGACCAGCAGGGGGCAGTGCAGGCTGCTGTGTGGGACAAAAACAATGTTCATTCTTCTCAGCTGAATCCAACAGGAGCCGCGCACGCATCATAATAACTCACCTCTCAGATTCAGAAGAGCTGAGTTTTCCTTCATGGTCACCATATTCCTGGCGGTGCAGGTGTAATTCCCAACACTAGCTCCTCCCATCTCCTCTATGAGGTACACAGAGTTGTTGACATGCGTCTCGTTGCCGTTAAACATCCAGCTGAAGTTTGCAGGAGGGACAGAGGCGGCCGTGCACTGCAGGGTGACTCTCTGACCCAGTGAAGCCGACGAAGGTCCTGTAATTGATGTGTTGTAAGGTCCATCTGTGCAGACATATAACTCATGTTAGATTTAAGGCACTAGAGAAGAAAAACACTGATGTTTCCTGGTCTGTGAGCTCTGAGTGATCACGAACAGTTGACAGTGAGATAAAGAGCTGCCGTCATGGCGCTGACTGGGTTGCTGACTTGACACTGGTAGGAACCGCCGCTGGAGCGGAGGACAGGACGTATGAGCACCGTCACGTTGTCTGCTGATAAGCTGACGTTGTCGCTGAGCTGAAGGGGAAGGCCGTCTTTCATCCAGTGCCTGGTGCTGATGGAGCCGGAGGCCTCACAGGTGAGGTTGGTGGAGCTCTGGTCTTCTATCAGAACAGCTGCAGGGCTACGGATGACGGCTCCTGTTATCGGCACTGGTGGTGCATTAAAAGGGTGTAATTTTAGTAGGAATTACAGAAAAATACCATGAAATAAAAACATATGTGGGTTGTGCCTTGAAAACATGATCAGGTCCATTTGTGTGTACCTTTTCTGACCTAAGGTTGTTAGAAATTACTCAACCTGATAAATAAAACATGTTTTTCTCAAGAAATTTCTCCCCAAACCCTGAAATTGTTTCTTAAATCCTGTCAAAATCTAAACTAAACTAGTGTATTTTTTGGTTCATGAGTCATTTTAGACTGGACTCACTTAAGATGGACACATTTTCCATCATTTAAGTTTAGTTTAAACCTTCAGGGTAAAAGCATTTCTGTCACTTATTGAATAATTAATTATTATATGAACGCACGGGAGAGTTAACACCAACCATAAACATTAAGAGTGATCTTCCCCTGGAGCTGCAGCCCTCCATCAGGTATGATGATGACGGTGTAAACCCCGCTGTCCAGCAGACCCAGGTTTCTGAGCTCCAGGGCTCCTGTAGCTCGATCTAACGAGATCCTGTTGGAGTATGCGGGATCGGTGCTGTTGACGCTCGTGGAGGTGATGATGCTCCCACCTTTAAAGCTCCAGCTGACGGACAGAAACGGGCTCTGTGTGGGAGCGAGGCTGGTGGTGAACCTCACCGTGCCTGCTACAGCCCCACTCAGGGGTCCTGGGGGTAAAATGCCATCACCGGCACACGCACCTAGCAGGTGGGAAAAAGAGGATCAGCATTTTCAAAAGTCTGCGACATCCGTAAGATTTAAAGACTTCTCAAGGATATTAATTAAGTGAAGTTTTAATTTGAACACCAGCTGAGTTTACCTGCTAAAAGGAGCATCGCAGCAGTCCAGGTGAAACTCCTGTCCATGATCTGAGCTCAAGAGTCGCTTTAAGAAAATCTGAAACACGAGCAGCAGGTGTTGCAGCTCTTTTATCCTCACACACGACCAACTCCAACCCCCCGCTCAGTCGTGAAAAGCACTATGTTTACTATGCTTGTGCAAAGCCTCAAGGTGCATGCAGCCACTGGTTACCCACACCCAGGCTGGAAGGGTTTCCAGAAACGTAGCAGCTTTTCCTCGAAACTGGAAAAAAGTTGAACTCTGAGTCAACAATTCCAAGAGTGAAATGGTTTAAAGTAAAACTAACCTTCCAGGGTAGAAACATGTGATGTTCATGTGGAAAAATGGGAATAATTCTGAAGAAATAAATAACAAACTTTATAATAAATGACTCTTCAAAACTAGTGCCTTCATCTCTGAGAATAAAACACAACAATTCACGAGTAAAACGTGTATTTGTACGCGTTTGTGAAAGCAGCCCCATGTCTGAGTCACGATGGTTGGGATGTTTTACGAGCTCCTCAGACCTCAGTAAGTGGATGTTTAAGCGTTCCTGTTTGAGGAGCTGCAGCGATCCATCGAATTCCTTTAGAAGGAGGATCAAAGACGTCCAGGAGACTCAGCCTCCATCAGATGCTTTTCCAAATGCATAACTCACTACAAAGCAAACGGAATCACAAATAAATGCATCAAGTGCTCAATAAATTAAATTAAATTAAATTAAAATAATTAAATAGTGCCCAGCTAAATTCAGGTCCATCTTCAAAATTCTCCTCCATACCTTCAAAGCAATCCACAACCTCTCTCCTCCATATATCTCAGACCTTGTAAGTATTCACACCCCATCCCGTTCACTCAGATCTTCTTCTTCCATCCATCTTGCGGTTCCTTCTGCCCGTCTCGCTACCATGGGGAGCAGAGCTTTCAGCCGCTCTGCTCCTCGACTCTGGAACTCACTTCCCCCAGACATCAGGAACATAGACAGTTTTACCCTTTTCAAAGCAACACTCAAAACACATATGTTTAAATCTGCCTACAACCTCTGATTTTATTGAACTGTTTCTCTCTTTGTTTTTTCTTGTTTGGGTTTTATTATTGTTTTATTGTATTTTATCAAGTGTTTTCTGTCAAGTGACCTTGGGTGTCCTGAAAGGCGCTTTTAAATAAAATATATTATTATTATTATTATTATTATCATTATTATTATTATTAATTATGACAGAAGTTAGAAATTTCAATCAATTCTAATAGATAATTTTATTTTTATTCATTTTTGTTTATCAGAAGAAATTAAAACAGAGTGATGTAACGACCCAGTTACCTGTAACCAGGTGTCTCCTGCCTCTATAATTATACGAATGTACAGTGAGGGTGGGGAGGCAGGACACTTTATATATGAACTTTAGTGTCTTTATGTGCTCTCCTAAGTGGCACTCAGCAGTTTAAATACAATATTACTCAACTTCTGCAACACTTTACATCCCTCAGGAGGGGGTGGAGCCATTTAGATAAAAAATACTTTATAAATAAAATTGACCTTGACCTTCATAGAGCGCATTTACAGCAGCAAAGCTACAGCCAAAGCGCTGTACAAGGTAAAACAAATCAAGGTACAACAGATCAACAATAAAAACCTAAAATAAGATGAACACACAACAGTCACAATCTATAATAAAAACTGTTAAAAACTATTAAGATGCTCAACAAATCAAAAAAATGCATCTTAAGAAGGGATTTTAAATTTTCCAGATTCTGTGTGGTCCTGATGTTGAGAGGCAGCTTTTTCCACAGTTTGGGCCCAACCACAGAGAAGACTCTGTCGCCGCAAGTCTTGTGGCGGGTTTTTGGAACTGTTCAAAGGTTCTGGCAGGGACGTAAGCGGACAGCAGCTCAGAGATATAAACTGGGTCCAGGCCATGAAGAGATTTAAAAACAAAATGTCACATTTGTAAATGGATCCTGTAAGAGACAGGAAGCCAATGGAGAGCGACCAGAACCGGGGTTATGTGATCCCGCTTGCTGGTTCCAGTCAGCAAGCGGGCCGCAGCATTTTGGACCAGCTGAAGTCGGTGTAGGGAGGACCGGTCCAGGCCAGAATACAGGGAGTTGCAGTCGTCCAATCGGCAGGACACGAACAGATGACATGTTCGAGGACATTAGCAGGAAGGTATGGCTTCACCTTTGCTATCTGCCTTAAATGATGAAAACCTGATTGGACCACTGCACTCACCTGTCTGTGAAGATTAAAAGAACCGTCTAAAAACACACCAAGGATTTTAACACCGGGTTTTAGAAAACCAGAACAAGGACCAAGAGTGTAGTTTGTCCATTAGGCTGGACTCTAAAATGATCAGAGAAAAAGATCATATTGTAACACACAAAAGCAACGTTTTAGGCCTAATTTCATAAAGGCATAAATAAACATACAAGAAGGATTTCTGTCACACGTGGTCAGGCTGGCTCTACATCTTTATGATGTTTGAACAGACTTTATGGCTACTTTCCAGGAACATCACGGTACAAGAAATCTTCTGTGACGCAGACACAGACCTCAGAAAAACAAAACCATCAGAGCTCCACCCTTAGAGGGTAAAACAGAGACAACGTTGTTTGTGAAGATGCTTCGTTTCTCGTCTGAGGAGAATATAAATGATAGAATCCAAGTTTTCCTGTAGCAAGGTTTTCATTCCTGTAAGCTATGATGTAGAAATCCCTGTTGTAGGACCCTCAGGAGGGAGGTGACAGCGACGACCAGCATGTCACACACCCGGTGTCGGTACAGGATCGGCTCGGGGTCCTTCGACTGTCAATGACATCACATTACTGTAAATCTACTCGGCTTTCACACATACGTTTTGGAAAGACATCAGCAGTTGTGTTAATAAATTCTTGTTTGTTAACAAAAACGTTTTCTTTATAATTGTAAATTGTTAATAAAACACCATATTATCTTTGTTTTGTAAAGAATGTGAAACTGCATAAAACCAACATCGGACTGGCAAAAAATAGAACAGTTCTTATATGTGAAGCCACATCTGTTTGTATTAATGTGGAGTTCATCTGTATATTTCCTTAGTTGTTATCTAAATACGTTCTTTGACTCAAAATGTTGCTTGGTGTCTTTCAGTAAAGTTCTTATATTTTATTTTGCCCCATTTCATCAACATCAAGAGCTTTTGAGGGTCACCGTTTATCATTTGCTTATATTTTACATTTCCTTTAGAAATTCAAACATATTATCTCCAAAAAGTGTTGATTGTTGGACTACAGGAGTACAATCACTAAGACTACGACCACAAATTTGTTCTGACCAATCTAAATCATAACGTGATAACGTCACTTCCGTAAGCTTCATGTTCAGCCAATCAACTACTTTCAGTTTAAAGACTGAAGGCAGAGAGGAAAATTATCTCAGCCTGACCCAAACAAAGGTGGAAAAGTCTTGTTATCCGAAAAAGGAATGCAGACAGATGCTGTGAAAACCCGACCTACATTTCTGTCTGAGGTGTTTTTTTTTTTTTGCAGAGCAAAGCTGCCCTCCTGGTGGAGGGTAACTCTGAAGTGCCTTTTTTCCCTCCACCTGAACCAATCCTCATGTAACCCTCTGATCTCTATTAAGGTAGCACGACTCAGGGTTGCGAATGACCACAGTCACCAATTCTTGTCATGTGTCTTGCCCATAAATGTCTGATCTCTGAATTGTGTGTACTGAAACTCTAATTTCCCTCTGGGATTAATAAAGTATCTTTGATTGATTGATTGATTGATTGTCATCGGCAGTCGAAAGACCCCGAGCCGATCCTGTACCGACACTGGCACCCCACCCACACACCTACCCCTGTTTAGTATAAAAATACTGTGTTCAGTAAGCTAAACATCATGAAAGTTAAAAGAAAGTGAAAAATATTTTCTTAGGCATTAAATGATCCAAATAATTTTAAATCAATGAAAGTAATAAAATGTAATGAATGATACAATTAAATAATAAGATCAGATGAGATCAAATATTAATTCTAATTTAAATGCATTAATAACTTTTGAGAAACAAAAAAAGAAACAATCTAAACATTTTATGCATGACCCCAAGAGTTCAGCTACTTGGAGACAATTTTTTAATAATAGTTTTGTATAATTTCATATATTTTACATAATTTGATATTATTAAAATGTATAAAAGTTATTGGATGTTATGGTATTTAATTATATATTACATAATTTAATCATTAATTATATAATAATTTTTATATTATTTAAAATCTTTTATAATATTTTGTGTTATTTTATATTGTTTTATAATGTTTTATACTATTTTTTATTATTTAATATAAGTCATGTAATTTAATAATATTTAATGGCATTTAGAATAATGTTATATTATTTAATACAATTTTTTATGATTTTGTATGAATTAAAATGTTTTATAATAATTAATAATGATTAATAATTAGCTATATAATTTTATACAATTTTATAATGTTTGAAATAAATTTGTGTGATAATTTTGTATTTTTATCTATTTTATATTGTTTTAGTCATATTTTATATTATTGAATAATATTTAATATGTTGGAATATTTTATGTTATTTTATATTGGGTCACAGGCTGAATAATTTTTCTGCAGTCAAAAGGAGAAGAACTGGGTTACTGTAACCTTTATGAGCCTTGTTGTTAGGATACATTTCATTAGCTTTTGTTGGTGTTTTATATTTTAAGTCTACCGACAATTTGATTTACAAAATATTCCTTACTGTGATTTTTTTAGGCAGAGATACCGCAATATTAGCCTGACGTATGACCTCTGACCCCAGCAGACCAGCGCTAGTACGGTTCTGCGTCCATTGTCGACATAAATGTGCACTTGAATTATTCATATGATTACAATTGTCCCAGCAGAGAAACATCAGCTTCTTCATTCTAGTAAATTTCCACTCCGATAGTGGGGTTTACTTCCTGTGATCCACTACCCTTATTACATCATCAGTGACATCACAGGAGCTCTATTGACTGGAGGTCTGTCAGAACTCACTCAGTGCTTGTGAGATGAACACCGCGACCACATAAACATTTCAAAGAATGATTTAAAATACTTTTATAATGAGAAAAAATAATTGTGATAAAAAATGTGAGAAAAGGGAGAGAAAATGAAAAGGAAAGAGGGAAATCATCCCAGGAAAGACGGAATTAGAGCAGAACAAGGAGAGGGTGAGGACAAAGGTCACACAAAAGTCAGCGTGAACACATCAGTTTTCAGCTGCTGTGTGTGTGTGTGTGTGTGTGTGTGTGTGTGTGTGTGTGTGTGTGTGTGTGTGTGTGCGTGTGTGTAAAAAACTCTCCCAAAAATAAAACTAACCCCCTCCCCCTTGATGAATCACCACCTTACTGCGGTGGAGGGGTTTGTGTACCATTGCGATCCTCAGGTCTGAGCTGTTCAGGGTTGGCCACCAGCCTCTGGTGGGTCTCCCATGACAACCTGGTGTCAGGTGAGGGGTCAGACGAGTGATTCTAAAGCATTTTAGGTAAAAACACAACAAGCAGGTTACCGCACACTAAAAAACAACAAATCAGCATTTTTACTGATAATTAGTTATTATAAACATGCTTGATGCAGGTCCTGCTTCCTGTTTTTGTATCACCACCAAAAGCTGAAGGCTCTGCTGCTCTGAGTAATGAGACGGGGTTCGACTCCCTATGGTGTCCTGCTCTTTGGACGGACATTTAGTTGTAAACAAAAACGTCTTCATAAGTTTCTAAAACTATTTTATTGTCAACATGAAACATCCGTTTCATTTTTACAGTAAAGCAACTCTTTTACCCGTCCATCATTTTATTTGAGCTCAACTGGGAGGTCTGTAAGGGCTCTAGCAGATGACAACCACACACAGGAAGAGTTTAAGAGCTGTAATAAAAGTCTGGACCCAGTTTCCTGCTGGGATTGGTGGGAGAAGATCCTCTGGCAGTGGTCCGGGGCATGAGCTGGAGCATGATCAGAAGATGGACGTGGGTCGGAACCAGAAAGACAACAAGCAGGAGGATCCGACGAGGAGCAGGCGAGAGGCAGAGGTCCGTGAACAAATCCAGTGTTGTAATCCAAGGATCAGAAGTGTGTAGATAATCCAGAAGGGGTGAGGCAAGGTGGGAAAATCCAAGGTACAGAAACAAGGTCGTGAACATGGAGGCACAAATGGAGCAAGCGCTGGACATTGACCGGCAACAACTCTCAATAATCTGGCAGAGTCTGTGTCTGGATGGGACTTAGGTAGCAGGAGGAGCCGGTGTGGGAGATGGCTGGGATGAGCAGGCTGTGGTTGCTGAGGAAACGGACACGCGTGGAGCTGGGTCATGGCAAGCTCAGCAGCTTGATGCTCGTTTTCTATTCAGCATCTCAGAACGCAACGTAAGACTACGGAAAGCTGTGTGGCTCAAACTTGCAGCAAACCTGTGTTCGAGTCAGGTCGGATCAGAGTCTCATTAGAATCAAGCTGATGTGTCCTGTTTTCATTGACTCAGTTTGCTTTCTGGTCTTAACACAAATCACTTATCGGGTTTTCCTGCTTTTTGACATTTAAAGTAAAACATTTCAGTTCATTTGCAACAGAAGCCGCCAGAACTTCCAAACAAACGACTTTCCCGGCAGAAGAATTCTGCTCAAGGTAACAAAATCTGAACGATGTGGTCATGAAATATACCAAACATTTTGATACCATGGATTAAATGACAGCAACGGGTCTCAATCCGGGTCCTGGAGGGCCGGTATCCAGCATGTTTTTGTTGTTTCCCTGCTCCAGCACACTTGATTCAGTGGTTGAATCACCTGTGCAGCAGCTCATCAGAGCCTGTTAATCACCTGCTGATTTTAGTTGAAGCAGAGTTCAACTAAAACCTGCTGGATGGCGGCCCTCCAGGACTGCAAACCGCTGACTTAGAGAAACAACTAAACATAAACAAAACTGTTGTTGATCAGCTTTAACAGCCACCACTTCTGTTCTCCTCCGATCAGGACGTCTCTTGTTTCCTTCTTTTCAGCCCACCTGACAGATAAAAACAAACAAACCATTAAAACAAACATCAGCTGTTTGCTTCAGTCAAACTTCAGATGCTTTCAAATGTTTTTCTCCACGAAAACAGCCGAACACGTTCAGAACTCACCTTTCTACAGAGGAACCTTGTTGCTGCTAGATAGTTCTGTCATAAACACTTGACACGTTCTCATACGCATGTTCTTGTTCTGATTAAACACAAAAACAGCATCAACACTTCTTCAGGTGGGACTGTCAGGAGAAAACGTCTCAGAAGTTGGAAGATGAAATACAAACATTTACTACAATTAATACTAGAAAGCAGTTTCATTTATCTGAATCTAGTACAGGTGCATTTACCTTCAGGTCTCCTCGCTGCAGCTGTGACATCATGAGAGGAGAAGGTCACTGAACTGATGACCTGCTCTGTGTTTGTTCAGAAAGATGAAATAAATAAATAACAGCATGTAGAATCTCTTAATAATCTATTCAAAGTGCATCAAAATTCACTATAAAGTATGAATTTCTCCTACCACTGCTATGCAGACGACACCCAGCTCTATCTGTCATTTCCACCGGACGACCACACTGTCTCTGCACGAATATCAAACTATCTCTCTGACATGTCAAAATGGATGAAATCCCACCATCTCCAACTCAACCTCTCTAAAACTGAACTACTTGTCATCCCAGCAAAACCATCCATACAGCACAATATCTCAATCCAGAATGACTTCCTATCTCTGGCCCCTTCAAAGGCAGTTCGAAATCTGGGTGTTGTGATTGATGAACACCTGGCCTTTAAAGATCATGTTGCCTCTGTTGCCCGTTCATGCCGCTTTGCGCTGTATAACATACGAAAGATCAGACCATACCTAACACAACATGCCACCCAGCTCCTGGTGCAATCTACTGTCATCTCCCGCCTCGATTACTGCAACGCCCTTCTAACTGGTCTTCCAGGCTGTACTGTGAGACCTCTTCAAACGGTCCAGAACGCAGCGGCGCGTCTGGTCTTCAATCTGCCAAAAAGAGCACACGTCACCCCTCTGTTCATTGAGCTCTACTGGCTACCGCTAGCAGCACGCATCAAATTCTAATAGCTAACACTAGCATACAAAGTCCGAGACGGTATGGCTCCCATCTACCTGAATCCTCTTGCAAGGCTTACGTCTCGGCCCGGCCGCTCCGGTCATCACAGGATCGTCGGCTAGCAGTGCCTACACCACGCTCAGGACAATCCAGACTCTTCTCATGCATCGTTCCACAAATGTGGAATGACCTTCCAAGCACTACCAGAACAGTGGCTTCCTTTTCAATTTTCAAGAAACTCCTGAAGACCCTGCTCTTCAGAGAGCATCTTCTAAACTAGCACCCTCCCTGCACCCGTCCCCCCTCTCTACTGTCCACTCCTTGTTCCCTCCTCTCCATGATTGATGTCAAGTTGTTATTGTTGTTGTTAGCTTCAAGGGTAACATGCCGATTATCACTTGTAAGTCAATTTGGACAAAAGTGTCTGCTAAATACATAAACATAAACATAAACATGAATTTCATAATTAAATAAGTTATTATGAAGAGCTATGCCAGATTTTTTAGATTAATTAATTCATCTTCCATCCTGCTTATCTCCAGTTAGGGTGGATGGAAGCTGGTGCCCGTCTCCATCAGGGGTTAGGTGACAGCCTGGACTGGTCACCAGTCCATCACAGACCCACGTAAACACAACACACGCCCAGACACACACTCACTCACGCCGAGGGACGATTTAGTCTCCAATGAACTAAAGAGGAATGTTTTGGTCGGTAGGAAGACATCAGCGCACCAGGAGGAAACACACAAGCATGGGGAGAAGGTGCAGAAAGGCTGCAGCCAGGGTTTGAACCTGCAACCTAACAGTGCCACAAAAATAAACCAGGCAGCTAAACTGACTGATGTATAGTAATATGTCAGCACTGCTCTAGACGTCTCATCCTGATCAATGATCAGACCTACCTGCTGTGGCTGAAGCTGGTTTAGCTCGGCTCTTGTTTCTGAGTATCGGAGAAAAAAAGGTGGTCAGCAAAAACTGTTTTAAAAACAGGAGAATCAAATGATGCTTAGATGAATGAAAAACAAGGTTTTTATACTGAGAAAAGTCAGAATTATAACTGATAAGACATTTACTTCCTTCTATAAATAAAATATCCTCCAGCAGCTCCTGCAGCAGCAACTAAACATGAGATCACTATTCCAGCAACAGCTCCACCTGACAGACCTCCTTCCCGCTCTAAAACAGAACAGAAAACAACCAAAAGCATCAACATTTTACTGCAGGAGCTCCTGCTTCCATTTAAATGTTAACTCACCAATCACAGAAAGAGCTAAAGGCTGAGATGTTTGATATCTCAGAGTTTTGCTGTTGAAGGTCTGACAGCTGTAGTTTCCACTCTGATTTGTCTGAACATTCATCAGCCTGAGTTCTGGTCCAGTATCAGGTAGTGGGTTTCCATTCACAAACCACTGAAATGAGGCATCAGGACTGGAAACAGCTGAGCAGAACATCTGGACATCGGATCCTTTCACGTGTTCGTGTTTGGATGGAGATATTGTCAACAGAGTGTTTTCTGGACCATCTGCCACGAGGAACATCAACAAGAATGATGTTAGCAGCTGCATCAGGTCAGTGTGAGGAATCGTACTCATGATGTCCAGATCTAAACTCACAGCTGATGGAGAGACTGGTGCTGATGCTGGCGACAGAACTGACAGGATTAGACACGTGACAGCTGAATGGTCCCAGGTCATATCGGGTCACGGTGACTAGAGTCAGAGTGGATCCTCCATCAGAGCTGCTGATCTGAACTCTGTCACTGGCTGTAACCTCAGAGCTGCTGTTCATCCAGAGGAAGGAGGGAGAAGATCCAGAGGAGGAGCAGGACAGACGGACAGAACTGATGAACTCAACTAGATCTGTGCTGCTGGCGGTTAGCAACACACCAGACACTGGATCTGGGGATAAAAAACAAAATGGTGCAATTTTCTTTATTATCTACACAACAGTAACAATAAATAAAACTGTCCCTTGGCGCCGATGTTCTTCACCAGAGAGAAGAAGACATCTGCAGCACTGGACCTGGCAGGCAGCCCAGAATCATCAGTTGGCTCTAGGGATGTGGAACGTTGCCTTTTAGGTGGAAAAGAACCAGAACTTGTCATGACCCCGCTCCAGACAAGCTCTGTTTCCCCAGCAACCACAGTCAACTCACCATCAACATCGTCCAAACCACCTGTCAGCTGGGGCTTCGCCTCAGATTTGATGCTTTTTTGAGTTTTAGCAGTTTTTTCATGCAAAACCAGAAACTGTGTTTCAGAAAAACTTAAAGGCTGTTTCTCAATGCCAAGGAACGCCGCCTTGATGTCTTGGTCCCACCCCGGTTGCCTAGGAGATACATTATCAGGAGCCGCCAAGACGTGTTCCAATGTTCATGTTCTACTGAGGTGTGTGTTTGTTAGCCGTTTAGCTAGCTGAGCGAGGATACACGGGAGATGTCTTGTAGTCTAGCCTTGGTCAAAATTTACCCAGAATACACCGCGGTATTTTCAAAAGGATGGTGGATCAGAAGCCGACAGCTACTTCAGGGGCAAATTTAAAGTTTAAATGTAAGTCAGCTAATTTAAAACTTTTTTTTTTTAAGATCCAAAGAAGTTATCTATGGTTGGTTAGTTTCTTAGTAGTTGCAGCTTTGGTGGCTAGCGGGTAGTAACTCGCTAATATATGGTCTAATGAGCTTTGAAAGAAAAGCGTCTGGACTTCTTTGAGTTGCTTGAAGACGTTTCACCTCTCATCCGAGAGGCTTCTTCAGTTCTAAGGTCAAATGGTGGAGTCCCAGATTTAAACCCAGTGGGACTTCCCCCCGAAGAGGGAACAAAAGACCCCCTGATGATCTTCTACATAAACACATGAGCCAAGGTGTGAGGGTGGGTGTGGGTCCTATTCAGCCAGAGTTTCGGGTGAGCTCATTGTGAAGCCTGGTCCCACCCTATCATGTGAATTCCTGAGGTCAGATGGCCCAGGATATGCGTGGGCGTTGAGGCATCTGGGAAGGGATCTCAAAACTGGATTATAGATGGCAGACAGTTGGTGTCATAAACCACCGCCTCTGTTCAAAGATGGTTGCTCACAGTGGACATAAATGACTTCCTTTACTCCTCTTTCAAACCATCTGTCCTCTCTGTCCAAAATGTGAACGTTGGCATCCTCGAAAAAGTGACCTTTGTCCTTTAGATGCAAATGAACTGCTGAGTCCTGTCCCATGGAGGTGGCTCTTCTATGACATATCGCTTATATATGCTTAAAAGTAAAAAGCTTGTCATATATTTATATTTAAACTTATACATATAAAATGTAACATTGTCTCCCGTGTCATGTGATGCTGCTTGACCGCGGTGGAAGTCGCTGTCACGTGATGCAAGTCTGTTCCATTTAACAGTTTTCTTTGACCAAGGAAGGACAGCGTCCTCGTAAGCAAGGCGCCTGGCCTCGCAAGACATCGCCTCACAAGGCCAGGCGCCTTGACATTGAGAAACACCCAAAGACTCAATAAAGAGAGGAGCTAGTTGAGGTGGCTCGGGCATCTGGACTCCTCCCTGGTGAGGTTTTCCGGGCACGTCCAACCACGAGAAGGCCTGAAGGAAGACCCAGGACACGCTGGAGAGACTATGTCTCTCAACTGGTCAGGGAAGATTATAAATGATTATTAAAAACATGTGACTCAGTTGAAGGTGTGGTTGACTAAATAAACATTTTTGTAATATTACTTCTGAGTTTTCCATGCAGGCTGAACATGAAAACAGTCTTCTACACCTATCTCCTGCTTTAGCTTCTGATAGAAAATAGACAGTGAAACGCTAGGATCTGAAAACCCTCACATATCTATGTCACACTGTGAATTTGTATTGATGGCCCCACCTATCTTAGCTCGTGCCCGCCCACATGAATGTTTTTGTAAAATATTCTTGCAGCGAGGAGAGAGAGCAGAGAGCATATTTGTGGTAGTGACTTAGCAACATGGCTGAACGCGTTCTGTTAGCCACTCTTCTGTTAGCCAATCAGAAGTGACGTGTGTGCATATCGTTAATAATGATGCAGTCTTTTTTTCAGCTCACCTCTGCACCAGCAAACATCTGCATCTAAAAACAGGAGCGTCATAGCTTTCATTGATTTATTTTTTGTGACTCACAAAGCATTGCTTTACAGTACATTAGATGGCACTACAATTGTATCGAATAAATGAGTAAACCACACCTTTAAGTATAATTACCAGTACACATTTACTCCAGTATTGTTTTCAGACACTGCAGAACCTTGTTGTCTGACCCACAGCGTGTATTTTCTAACAAATTACAACGGTGACTCGTAATCATTACGGTTACAAACACCAGTTGCCACAGAGCAAATATAAAAACATGAAATAATTGTAGATAAAATAAGGATTTATTTGGACCTACCATAAACAGTCACTGCTAAAGGCTGAGATGTTTGGTATCTGAGGGTTTTGCTGTTGAAGGCCTGACAGCTGTAGTTTCCAGTCTGACTCAGCTGAATGTTCATCAGTCTGAGTTCTGGTCCAGAATCAGGCAGCATGTTCTCATTTAGGAACCATGAGATAACTGCTGAAGGTCTAGACTCAGCTGAGCAGCTCAGAGACACGTTTGATCCCTCCATATAGTGGTCTTCTGACGGAGAAGCAGCCAAGTGTGTATTTTCTGGACCATCTGAGTTTTTGATGAAACAAATAAAAACATGTTGGTCAGAGAAGTTATTATTAAAATCAGGAAAAATACATTTGCGTTAATCTAAATTACTTTTAAATAAAAGTCCTTTTTACTAAGTTCAATCAGAAACTGAGGATTGTAGTCAGACGGAGGTTCATCACAGAATCAGATGTTTAAAAGTTTGTTCAGTAACTTTATGATGTTTAAACAGAGCTGAACTCACAGCTGACTGAGAGCTTTACTGCTTCACTGACGGCAGAACTGACAGGATTAGACACGTTACAGCTGAATGGTCCCAGGTCATATCGGGTCACGGTGACTAGAGTCAGAGTGGATCCTCCATCAGAGCTGCTGATCTGAACTCTGTCACTGGCTGTAACCTCAGAGCTGCTGTTCATCCAGAGGAAGGAGAGAGAAGATCCAGAGGAGGAGCAGGACAGACGGACAGAACTGTTGAACTCAACTAGATCTGTGCTGCTGGCGGTTAGCAACACACCAGACACTGGATCTGGGGATGAAATTATACATGTTTATTAGTGATATGTAGTTATTTGACACGATGGCGTTAAAAATTAAATCAGTTTTTGACACCCGTGTTCTCCACTAGGGGTTGTATCGACTAGTCGACTTCACTGCTCTGTAGTGACTTTTTATAATAATAATAATAATAATACATTTTATTTCAAAGCGCCTTTCAGGACACCCAAGGTCACTTTACACAACACACGTAATAAAATACAATAAAACAATAATAAAACCCAAAGAAGAAAAAACAGAGAGAAACATTTCAATAAAATCAGAGGTTGTAGGCAGATTTAAACATGTGTGTTTTGAGTTTTGATTGGAAAAGGGTAAAACTGTCGATGTTCCTGATGTCTGGGGGAAGTGAGTTCCAGAGTCGAGGAGCAGAGCGGCTGAAAGCTCTGCTCCCCATGGTAGCGAGACGGGCAGAAGGAACCGCAAGATGGATGGAAGAAGAAGATCTGAGTGAACGGGACGGGGTGTGAATACTTATAAGGTCTGAGATATATGGAGGAGAGAGGTTGTGGATTGCTTTGAAGGTATGGAGGAGAATTTTGAAGATGGGCCTGAATTTAACTGGGAGCCAGTGAAGCTGCTGGAGAACCGGCGTGATGTGGTGAAAGGAAGGGGTTCTGGTGATAATACGGGCTGCTGAATTCTGGACCAGTTGCAGTTTATGAAGGAGTTTGTTGGGGAGACCATAAAGAAGTGAATTGCAATAGTCGAGACGGGAGGTGACGAGGCTGTGGACGAGAATGGCGGCAGTGTGAGGGGTCAGTGAGGGACGAAGACGGTTTATGGAACGTAGATGGAAGTATGCTGACCGAATTAAGTTATTAATGTGAGCCTGAAAAGAAAGGGAGCTGTCGAGAATGACACCCAGACTCTTGACATGAGGTGAGGGGGAGACTGTGGCACTGTCAATAGTTAAAGAAAAGCTGTCAGATGTTGAGAGGGTGGAGTTAGTGCCAACTAGAAGAAGTTCAGTTTTATTGCCGTTGAGTTTGAGGAAATTAGAGGTGAACCATGATTTGATTTCAGAGAGGCAGAGTGTAAGGGAGGATGGTGGGAGAGTTGAGTTGGGCTTACTGGAAATGTAGAGCTGGGTGTCATCTGCAAAGCAGTGAAACTGGATATTGAATTTGCGGAAGATTTTGCCGATAGGGAGGAGATATACTATGAAGAGGAGGGGCCCCAGGACAGAGCCCTGGGGCACACCTGACTTGACTGGGGAGGGTTCTGAGGTAAAGGATTTTAACTGGATGAACTGAGTGCGGCCAGTAATGTAAGATTGAAACCAGCGGAGGGGGGTGTGAGTGATGCCTAAGGAATAGAGTCTATTAAGGAGGATGGGATGAGAAATGGTGTCAAAGGCCGCACTCAGATCGAGGAGAATAAGAATAGAGATTAAACCAGAATCAGCAGCAATGAGTAGGTCGTTAGTGATCTTAATAAGTGCTGTTTCTGTGCTGTGGTGGGGACGGAAGCCAGACTGAAACTGTTCATAAAGGTTATTGCGGGTGAGATGTGAATGGAGCTGAGATGCAACAGTTTTCTCAAGGACTTTGGAAATGAAGGGAAGATGGGAAATGGGACGGAGGTTATTGAAATCATTGGGATCTAAACCAGGTTTTTTTAGAATAGGGCTGACTGAAGCGGATTTGAATAGGGATGGGACCGTACCAGAGGATAGTGAGGAATGAATAATGGCTGTTATAAAAGGGAGCAGAGAAGAAAGGCAGGATTTAACTAAAACAGTTGGAATAGGGTCCAGTTGACAGGTGGAAGGTTTGGATTTGGTGATGTAATCTAATATTTCTGAGGGATGGGGAAGTTCAAAGGAGGAGAACGGAATGGTGGGTTCAAATAAATCAGGAGAGGGAGGGGAGGAATGAGGTAAAGAGAGATGGATTCTATTGACCTTCTCATTAAAAAACTGAAGGAGAGAGTTACAGGTTTCTGAAGAGTAAAGATGGATGGGTAAGGAGTCGGGAGGCTGAAAAATGCTGTTCATGATGGAAAATAATGTTTTAGTGTTGCTGGAGTTGGACGAGATGAGACCGGAGTAATACTGAGATTTGGCATGGGAGATGGAGTCCTTGTAGAGAGAAATCTGAGCAGAATATAAGTCTTTATGGATGGTGAGACCGGTTTTCTTGTAGAGTCTTTCAAGCCTCCGGTTGGTAGCTTTCAAGGAGCGAAGGGCAGGGGTGAACCATGGAGCAGACCGAGTAAAATATACAGAGCGGGATTTGATGGGAGCAAATGAATTAAGGATAGAAACCAGACCGTTATTGTACTGAATGACAAGATCATCGGGAGTAGAGGACAAATTAGGGGTCAAGGTGGCAAAACTGGAGGACAGGGAGGCTAGATCAATGTCCTTAATATTACGAAAAGAAATGATACGTGGTGACTTGATGATGGAGAGACGGAGGGGAACAGAAAAGGAGATGAGGAAGTGGTCCGTGAAAGGGAGCGGGTCAGCTGTACAGTTGGAGGGGGTCAGGCCGGAGCAGCAGATTAAATCCAGGGTGTGACCTTTAATGTGAGTGGGAAAATTGGCATATTGATGAAAACTGAGGCTATCCAAAGATGAGGAGAAGTCTTTGCTGAGGGGGAGGGCCATATTGTCCATATGAATATTAAAATCACCAAGTAAAATTACATTTGGGGAAAGGGCGGACAGATGGGATAAAAGAGCAGAGAGTTCATTTAAAAACTCAGGGCTGAACTTGGGGGGACGATAAACAGTGACAATTATTGTGGGGGTCGGGCCGGAGAGTTGACAGGCGAGGCTCTGTGCCAGAGGCTCTGTGCCAGAGCGTCGGTATCTGACGCCCGCCGTGAAGGGGACATTTGACCGAATTGTGACCTTCACCCTCTTGCGATTTAACCTTCCCCTCACCCCCATCCTAGCCTCAACCAGCTTGCGCATGCAAAGCTCTGATTGTTGACGCGCTCCAGACATCTGCGTTCTGAGCACGGCCACAGTGACATTATTAAATTAGGTGTTGCCACCTCAAAAACAAATTTAACACGCGATCGTTCATGTCGGCTATTTGTGCCTGATGCGTTTCGCTGCTGCGGAGCGGAGCGCATCACCTGTTTTGTCCTCCGGTGACGCACCTTACCGGTGCGGCCGGCGTGCACTCCGCTGTTTTAGCGGTCGGTAGATCTTTTAGAACTGCAGTTCAAAGGTAACTCATAAGGTGAAAATATATGAAGCCAGGTAGCAGTTTTTCTTTAGGATTGAGAGGAGATGCAGGAAGATAATAAGCAGAGACAGGACAGAAATAGTCAAATAAAAACGTTAGTTTTTGTACCTGCTGGTTGCAACAGACAGACTATAGACCATTGAAGGTAATTAGAAGTGAGGAACAGAAAATGAAACAATTATTTTAATGTTTAGAGCAGCAGGAACTCTGAGAGGCTGCAGGCGCATCAGTGAGTTTGTGCCGCTGCGTAGGGGGAGGGGGGAGAGGGCTGAAGCGGAGCAGTAAAGATGCAGAAACTACCGTTGTTAAAAGAGATGTTCATCTTAGTAAATGTGGACGCAATTTTAATTGTCAAAAACTCCAGCGAACCAACCCGCTTCAGGTGTAGGACGTCATCAATGACTAGTCCAAGTCGACTCGATTTTCATTACTTGACTGTCGACTTTAAAACAATTAAGTCATGCAGTCCGTATTCTCCACCAGACAGACAAACTGTACATATGACTGAAATGGCAGATTTGTGATTTAACAATGGAATAAACAACAATCATTACTAATAACCTAGATAAACAATGACAATCTCACATTTGTTTCTTCAGTATTGTCTTGTTTTCATTTCTTTTAACAATTACAGCTAAAACCAGCTGTTGGAACAATCAGAATAAAAGTATCGTATAAATACCAGATATCATTTACTGATGATGAAGAAGACGAGAACAGCAGCTAAGTGGGTTTGGGTTTCTAATACTCAGCTAGTCGCTAATATATGAACATAACTGTTTGTCATTGTTATAATAAAGAGTGTTAAAACAAACAGCTTACCGTATACAACCAGTCTGGTTATTCCAAACTTAAGGAAATCATCAGCTGGTTGAATGTTAATGCTGTACTCTCCATTGTCATCGAGTCCCAGATTCCTGAGCTCCAGAGATCCAGTAGATCTGAAGAGGGTGATCCTGTTTTCATACTCTGGTGCAGTTGCGTTTAAATTATTCGTTGAGGTTATTATAGACTTAACACCATGGTTCCATGACAAAGCAATAAATGGTGTTTCTGTTGGATTCAGGTTTGTTCTGAACATCACCGACCCTCCTACTGATGCTGTCAGAGGACCATCAGGTAAAACACCGACTCCTTCAGATAAACCTGGGAAAACATATTTTATTTAGTTTGTGAGGACATTTATAAATGATAAACGGCCTGAACTTGTGCACCTTCTAATGGTTCTACAGCCCCCCAAGGCACTTCACAACACAATCAGTCATCCACCCATTCACACACTGTGATGATGAGCTACGATGTAGCCACAGCTGCCCTGGGGCAAAATGACAGAGGCAAGGCATCACTGCTCCCTCCAACCACCACCAGCAGGCAAGGCAGGTTAAGTGTCTTGCTCAGGGACACATCAGCAGCATTTTCTGATGGGGGCCGGGATTTAACCTGCAACCTCCTTTGCTACTGCTGTCCCCACTGTAGTGTAGTGAGATTGGGGGCTTAATTATGACCAATAAGATGTGATGATTCTATATAAATATAGAATATTAACCTAATTGATCATTGAATGTTTATCCAGAAGAATTTAGGATTCGTTGCTTATTCAGGGACCATAAACACACTTCGTATTAATTCAGACAGAGTCAAGTATATAATTAAAATTGAACTATTTTCTAGACTAATTATAATACATAACAAGCTATGAATAGTGATGGAATGTGATGTGTGATAATGGTGTAAGTAGATGTTTATCAGAACCTTTGTATCTGGAAGAAACTGAGTTCTGGGTGTAAAAGAATTTGGTCTGCTATAAACTAGAGAGTTGATGATTTATAGAACGGCATCAGACACAATCTTGTTGTGTCTACATGCCCTTAGGGAGACCCCCGTTGTAGAATGTCAGGAAGTCTGGTGGACCCCACGGCACCGAAGTTCGCAGAATAACCGCAGCACCACTAGACCGGTCTCGAGTTGTCTCCAGAGCCCCCTTCAGACAGGCCATGAAAAACGGAAATGTTCCGGAATCTGTCCGTAAGACCTTTCTGTCTGAATACAAACATCCGGATAACGTGTTCCGGAATTTATCCGGACGAAGCCCCTAGTAACAGGTCCGGACTTGTTACGGACAGGTTGGCTGCTTCAGACTGGTGAGGTAAAGTTCCGGACAAGGGGGAGGGGACCGGGGGACGCTGTGCGCACCTAGATAGCCCGCTGCTGTAGCATGCGGCGAACCACGGCAGCTCGCCTCCTACGGTACCGCCTAGACGAGCGACGGAGCGCTTCACACCGCTTCCTTGATTCCTTTAACCATTGAGCTTCATCATCCAGGTCTCTTATGCGTCTTCGTGTGCGCAGAATTATGCTTAAGCACCTCGTGATTTTTATCTTGAGAGGCGCTATAGAAATGATATTTTCTTCTTCTTCTTCTTCTTAACATGAGTCCGATTCTCCCCCCCCCCCCCCACCCCCCGCCGCCGTCAGACATCTGGAACTTTTCCCTGCTGTGTGAACGCAGCCGAAAGGACAAGTTCCGGTACAAAAGTGATGTGTCTGAAAACACAGTTCCGATTAAAAACCGGATTGAATTGTCCGCAAATGTTTCAGAATGTCAGTCTGAAAAGGGCTCAGGTCACAGCAGGCATGGAGTTTGTTGCGTTTAAGAATGGACTCTTAAGGAGTCGAAGCTGTGTCAGCTGCAGGCAGGCTTTGCTGGTTCAAAGACTTTCCTCCAGATTGGCGACTCCGAAGTTCTGCTCAAAAACTAACTCAACTGAGTAACTCGGCAGTCACTCTAGTTTTAATGACCCACCATTTTATGACTCTGGCGATTCAGCATTTGACATGTAGGTTTACCAAACATCCCTCAGAAGCCACACCTTCATCAGATACGAAATGTTCTAACGCTGTGGATAAATAATCTTTAAACTTACGTGAGATGTGAGCTTCACCGTAATTTATATCTCATGAACATTGTGTATGAGTGTAGATAATGATTCACTTGTTAAATCAAACATTACTGATCATAACATATAAATCTGTCAGCGTAATAATAATATTCATTCCACTTCACTAAATTAGGCACAGACAATCCAAACATTAATATTATTACTCAAATAACATCTGGTTCATTCAACCATATGATTATTTAAAGGGACTTTTCGGACTTCTGAATTTTTATGCTCGTGATTGCCCCCTCAGGCCAAAAGCGTAATGGCAGCTTCAATAGTAGGCTCGTGCACGAGGCGCGCATGCTGTACGTGCACACTCCTTAACTAAAATAACAGCTGAGACAGTCCCGTGTGTGTGTGTGTGTGTGTGTGTGTGTGTGTGTGTGTGTGTGTGTGTGTGTGTGTGTGTGTGTGTGTGTGTGTGTGTGTGTGTGTGTGTGTGTGTGGCCCGGAGGACAGAGGACAGGAGAGCACGCAGCTAATTAATTAAATAATTTGGTTTTGTACCTGTCTCTTCAGCACAGCCGACAAAGGTTTATGATGGGTCAGTCCTCCTGCATGCTCAGATCATTCCCTTCCCTTGCTTGAAAAATTGTTCCAAAATGAAAGTTGAACCCTCATCCTTTTTATCTGTGAATTCAATGCCGTTCGGCGAGTCTCAAATAAAAATTTGGGCGTCTTACTGTAAAAAAATATATCATTAATGTAAAAAAGAAACTCCAAATTACAAACTTTATTCACACCCAGACTCGACACCAGGTCTCCTACATGAGAGTCAGACATCTTACTAAGTGAGCCAAAGCGCCAGTGATGTTATTTGTATCTGCAACATTTACATCCTTGATGACAGCTGAAACAACGTCAATCCAAAGAACGGTTCAGAGCGAAAAATGGCTATTTTGTTGCTAATTTGCAGGAAATATCTAGAAGAAAGTTCTACAGAAAGTAGCTAAGGGTCCTCAGAAATGTAGCTAGCTTTGTCACTAGGCGTTAGGAACAGCGACAAAGTGGCACTGCCTCTCTCTCTGCTGCTAAAGCTACTGATAGCAAATGCTACGGGCTATGCCTGAGCGTGAATGTGCATGAAGCAGCCTGCTCGACCCGAGCATCTCTCTTTTTCTGTGATTTTACAGAAAAACAGGCAATCACAGTAAAAATGCCAGGGCTCATTCTACAGGACCAGGGCATTGCAGGAGAATGTATGAAGAAGACATTTATTATTTCTATACATGTTTTGGCTGTCAAACTTCCATATAGTCCCTTTAATGATTATTTAACTTATGAGTTGTAAAAATTCACTTTTCATTCAGAGTGTGGAATCCCGTGGAAGCGATAAGGGGGAAAGCCGAGGCCTTGAAAAGAACAGTTGGTTGACAGTAAGTTATCTTGTGTGCCAAGCACTGCAGAGGCCTGGACTTTAGGAGACAGGAGAGAAAATCCACCCAGATAGTGGATCTGTTCTCTCAGATGATGTTGGTCAAATATATTGGTGAAAACTTTCAATTCAATTCTTTATTCAGGACAATGCACATTAATAAACAATCAAATACATCGTATCGATCATAAATGGGCCAGATTATAGCATAGTTGCTAATTTGCATCTGTAGTCCGTCAACAAGATAACTAAGTAAAACAAGTAACACTATACAATTTAAAAACGGTCAGATAGAAACATTCCAGTAAAATAGACAAACAAAAAAATAAAAATAACTAAAGATGCAAACATGTCTGGGAACTTTTAAGATGTAGTTTGAGGTGCTTTTTAAAGGTGCTATAAGTGGGATACTCTCTGATATTCGCTGGGATGTTGTTTCAAAATTGACTCCCTCTAACGGACAGTACCATTCGTCCGAACGTCGTTTTCCTGTAGGGGATCCGAAGGTCTCCTCTAGTGGAGGCTCTAGTACCATAGCCTTTGTCTGCTCTTCATTTTATGTATGCGGAAAGTGGAGGCGGAGCTATTCCATTAAGTGCTCTGCTGATGAAACAACTATTTTTGAACTTAATGACATTTTTTAAATTAAGCATGGTGTACTTTGCCAGAATATTACAACGGTGAAATGACAAAGGCTTTTGATCCAAGATTTTTATAGACTTATTGAATAACATTTCTATTGGTTTTAAAAGAGTGTCCCCAGCGAATGACCAGGTTGTGATGCAGTGGTCTACATGAGAGCAAATCATGGAGTGCAAAAAAATGTAGCTGAAATTGTAGTCATTGAAGATCTAATTTGTTTAAAGTTATTTATATTGAATTTAATTGTGTTCACTGTATGTTTTATATGATTTTTAAAGGATAGTGTCGGATCCAGGGTCATTCCAAGGTACTTGAACTCTTGCACCAGGTCCAGCTCTACCTCCCCCAAGTACACACCAACTGACCATTTCTGGACGCTACACTACTATTTCAATTATGCAGATAGTGAATCCTGCACTGATCTACTTACATTTCTCACTTGTACCCTATAGGTGGACATTTGTGAATGAGGCAATAAGAGGAAAATGAAAGTTTAATAACTTTTTTTGGCTTGAAGGTCGGTTTGAATGCAACAACTCGTGTCATGATCAAAAACGACCATGTGACTTCGTCTAACAGACGAGTCGTTTCCATTCTAAATGACGCTGTTCAGTAAGAAACAGTTATGGAGTAAATGAAAAACATACATGTCAGATAATATTAGTCATTTTGGATAAAAGCGTCTGTTAAACGAACATAAACGTAAATGTTTGCTAAATAAATGCAGCTGTGAGGTACACATGACACACTTATCATTGGTGCTTTTTACCACTTTAACACACGTTACAGTTTATTTTTACACATCAACACAGTTAAGCTCTAGAGGTTTAAAAACTCACCTGAGAAGGCTCCCAGAACCACGATGTAAAACATGACTGCTTTCATCTTTTCATCCAGAATAAAGATGGAAATGGAAACATTGCTCCTTGTCCACTGTTTGGTTACACGATTTAGAGAAGGAAATAAGGAAATGAGGAAATAAGAGCTGAACAGTTGATAAGTTCCTTCTCTGTCTAATGAATCATTAACAAATGTTTCTGGTTTAATTCCCACAGGACCAAGCTGCCAACTGGCCCACAGATTAAAGCTCAACCAGCACTTTGCTATTAACCAGCATCATTTTCTAGTAATGTGGTTCTCTTTTCAACTGGTTGTGTTTTTTTATTTTATAGATGCTAATTTGTTTGAAAGAAAAATGTTTGAATGCAGTTTAAACCGATAAGAGCTCCGAAGATCAGGAAGTTTGTCAATTTGTTTGATTTCCTTTGCTTTCGTTACTGAAAGTAACATAAATAATGTTTTGATACTACATAAAGGTTTACAAAACAAGAGTTTCATTATTTTTTCTGAATCATGATGTTTTTGTTTTTACCACGTTTCATTATTCATAATTATTTTCACCCAATAAATGTAAAATAATCTATTAGATGCTGAATTGTGTCTGATGTGAAATCTGTTCAAAGATTATAATTCTGGCTCCATTCTTCTTGTATTTGTGACCGTTGGGCTCATCTGTCATCAGATCATAAACAACCTGCTGATAAAATCATCAACACTGCATCAGGACATCAGGACTAGAGCCCTGCACTGAAGCCCTAGGCCCTCGGGTCGGCCCGGCCCGAGGGCCTAGGGCATCGGGCCAATGGCTGTGTAATTACCTCGGACATGGGCTGGTGTCGGTACAGGATCGGCTCGGGGTCCTTCGACTGCTGACGACGTCAAAGTAGTTGATTGGCTGAACATGAACATTACATAAGTTACGTAATCACGTTACGTTGTTATCACGTTACGTTGGTCCAGGCAAATTTTTCTGTTGGAAAGATGGACAACTTTTACAAAGAAATCCATCATTACCTCTTTGAAAATACACTTTTAGCATAGAGCTGCATGTACATTAGGGCTGAACGATTAACTGCATGTGCAATTAAATTGCGATGTGACAAAAGGAGATTTTCTAATCGCAAAGGCTGCAATTTGGCAGCGAGTGGTTAGCACAATGCTAATATACATGGAAAAAACCATAGGAATGCTAATGCTAATATCACAGATTACATTCTTACAAATTATGAATTAGAAATGTGCCAAATGATTACATTTGGAGTCTAATAGAAAGTAAAACTACCATCAATCAAATAAGTACAGACAGGTATTTTAGTAAAGCCAGAAAACTTTTAACTCCAGAGTTTTGGCTAGCAGCTATGAGCGTAACTGAACTACGCATGGACAAGACGTCAAAAACTCTAAACACAAAACACTTCAATAAACGGGACACACTTGTTTCCTGCAAATACAATTTCACAGGTGTTGCTAATACCTATGATCCTTCAAGGGATGTGCTCAAAGAGGAGTTCAACATTATGGATACAATGTAGTGTTTTATTTTACAAATACCATTATAAACACAAACTTACACCTTAAGAAACATTATTTTAATAACGAAACTGCTAAATTCTTTCCAACAGTATAAAGATGTCTGGTGTATTTTGTCCAAGTGGGTTTGCCGTACTTTGACGTCATCGGCAGTCGAAGGACCCCGAGCCGATCTTGCACCCGAGCAGATCCTGTACCGACACCGGGCCGGGCGCCTTTATTTTTAATCGAATTCATTTAAAAAAAACTGAAACACCTGAATGCAGCAGCACCTGCCTGCTTCTCACCCACCGGCACCCGTTAGCTCAGTTAAGGTCTGTGTGGTTTAAAAATGCGCTTATAAAACAAATTCTCAAACTGCTGATTGAAACATGTGCCCCTATTCTAACATGCCATTTTATGTCCACTTTGATGTCAGAAACATTCGTTTATTCTCAAGAAAACGGCAGAATTCTGTTTTTCTGTGAATAAATTCGCTCTGCAGTTTAAAAATACAGCATTCATTGCTGTTTTTTTTTCTAACTGGAGAGCGCATTTTCAGAGCGGCAGGTTAAATTTACAAACGCTATATTAATTGGGGGCGTTTATTTAATCTGCCGCTCTGAAAATTCGCTCTGCAGTTAGAAAATCAGAGTGCTTCTTTTTTTTCCTAATTGCACAAGAGCGCATTTTCAGAGCAGATTAAATTTACAAACGCATCCAATTAATATAGTGTTCGTAAATTTCATCTGCCGCTCGAAAAATACGCTGTTAGAAAAAGAAGCTGCATTGATGCTGTTTTTCTTTCTTTTCTTTTTTTTTTTTTTACTGCAGAACGCTTCTCGCAGATAATTAGAATGCTGAGCATTCTATCACGCTAAAACATTATGAAAGGCTAAAAAAAAGTCGGGCTCGGGTCGGACCAGAGAATCCTGAAAACCTTTTGGGACCGGGTCGGGCTGGGGCTCCACCCCCTCGGGCCGGGACAGACACGGGCTCAGATTTTAGGCCCGTGCAGGGCTCTAATCAGGACACATGTGTTACAAACCCTAGGTGGTAGACAGTTGTGACAGGAGGGGTAACATAATAACTGGCATGAAAAAAGGGGGGTGAGTATAAATAAAATGCATTTTATTAACAAAGAGTAAAACACAAATACTCAGTCCTTGACAGGAATAATGACTAAACAATTTTACTTTATGAAAACAAACAAAGGCGATGGGGCAGAAATCAAAACACCTGAGGCAAAAGACCTCAGGGAAGAAATAACAACGATACTTTAACAAATGAAAAAGGCCGGAGCTAAATAACTAGAAAACAGCAGATGTCGACGGCCAAACTTTATTCTAATCATCAAAAGTAAAACCGAGCTCTAAAGTGGAAAATGGAACAGAAATTCAAGCTTTAAGAGCAGACCAAAGGATCACTAAACGAAAACGGCCATTAAACAAAAGGATTCAACCAAAAAGAACTACTTATCCAACCGAATTTATCAAAGTTCTTAATCCTACTACGAAACCGTTTGCTCCAAAGATCCAAGGAGAGAGGAGAGCAGGACAGAAGAAGAAGAAGAAGAAGAAGAAGAAGAAGAAGAAGAAGAAGAAGAAGAAGAAGAAGAAGAAGACGTCATGAGCCAGGGTGAGTACTCCTCATTCACTTAACATCTCTGAGTCTCTTGCCAGGAGAGGGAGCGCCACCAGCTGTCCCTGATCTGCAATCAGCGAGGTGCTTCCTACGTAAGGTGGATGGAGGACACAATTCGATGCCGGAAGATTGCCACAGCTTGGTAGTACCCAGCCACGCATGTTCTCTAGGATCTCTAGAAATTAATCTTTACTAGAAGTGTTTTGCTCTAGGATTTAGACCTTTGGATTTTACTTACCTCCAGGATTTCAGTGTTTCCCTCTGGACGCTGAGCCATTTGGATACTCACCTCAGGACTCCTGGGTTTGGAAACTCAGATCCTCCAGGACCCAGTCACCGTTCTCCATAACGACTCACTGGACATTTCGGCTCAGTGTCTCCCATCCACCAGGACGCTCTGCTCACCTCCACCTTTGCTCCCTCTCCTGCGCTTCTCCCGGCTCTCGACCTGCTCCCTCCTCCAGCCAGCTACTCTTACCTGACTAAGTCCCTCGAACCTACCTTGGGACATAAATGGACCTCAGGACATACCTGCAAATACTCACCAGTGTTCTCCCTCCTCCAGACGCAGAGCTCCTGTGTCTGTGAACAAACTACTGACACTCAGTGCACCTTCAGTTCTCTTTTTTTGTAAATAAACAAACTATTTTTTCTCCCATCTTTGGTCTGAGTCGTGTCCTGCATGTCTTGGGTTAGGTGCCTTCCCCCAAACATGAAAAGAAGAAGAAGAAGAGGTTTCTATAGCATCTCTCAAGATAAAAATCACGAGGTGCTTCACAAAAACAAAAAATGTAAAAATATAAAAATGATTATAGAAAAATGATTAAAAATATAAAAGAGAGTGAATAGGAAAGCGGGAAATCAGTGGGTCCTGAGGAAGGTGGAATAGGTGGGGAGAGCAGAATAAAGAGAGAGAGGTGAAGAAGGTCATACAAAAGCCAGCCTGAACAAGTGAGTCTTCAGCTGCTTTTTGAAGGAGACCACTGAGTCCACTGATCTCAGGCTCAGGGGGAGAGAGGTCCAGAGTCTGGGGGCCACAGCAGCAAATGATCTGTCACCTTTGGTCTTTAGCCTGGTGCTGCACAACCAGTAGGCTTTGATCACTGGACCTCAGGGACCTGCTGGGGGTGTAGGGACTAAGAAGATCACCAATGTAAGATGGTGCTTGTCCATGTAAGGGCCTATAGACCAGAACCAGGATCTTGAAATGAACCCTGAAGTTGACTGGCAGCCAGTGAAGCTGGAGGAGAAGCGGGGTGATGTGGGTGTGTTTGGAGGACTTGGTCAGAAGCCGAGCACAGGCATTCTGAACCACCTGTAGACGGTTCAGGGAGGTTCTGCTCAGACACGTGAAAAGAGAGTTACAGTAGTCTAAGCGTGAGGAGATGAAGGTGTGGAGAACTGTCTCAAGTTCAGAGCGGGACAGAATGGGACTCAGCTTAGCAACGTTCCTGAGATGGAAGAAGGAAGAGCGAACAAGAGAACTGACATGAGAATCCAGGGTGAGAGCTGGGTCAAAGGTCACACCAAGATTCCTGACAGAAGGTTTGGTGTGAAAAGCAAGCTGACCAAGAGAGTCTCTGACTTTGGGAACCAGCTTGTCTGGGGCACAGATGAGGATCTCAGTCTTATCTTCAGTCAGCTGTAGAAAGCTCCCACCATCCAGGTTTTGATAGAGTCTAAGCAGGTGTGTAACAGCTGCAGCTTAGACATCTCATGGGGCTTAAAGGAGATGTTAAGTTGGATGTCATCTGCATAAAGATGGTAGGAGATTCCTTGGAAGGAGCTCAGGATGTGCTGAAGAGGAAGCAGAAAGAGGAGGAAGAGCAGAGGCCCCAGCACAGAACCTTGTGGGACACCATGGGTAAGAGAGGTGGTGGAGGACCTAAACTTGGAGACGGCCACAGAAAAGGAGCGCTCAGAAAGATAAGAGGAGAACCACTCCAGAGCAGATCCTGATAGGCCTACCCAGTCTCTGAGCCCCTCCAGTAGCAGGTGATGATCAACAGTGT